GGACTCAACAAAATGGAGCTGTTCACTGAAGTCCCCCTTGCAGAGACCACTTGTGCTGAACATCAGTGATGCACAGCCTGTACTTCGTACCTGAGTATCCCATAGCTGTGGGACTCCAGCTGGGTGGGTCCTGGCCTGCTAATGCGTAAGAAAGAAGTACACGCATTCAGTACTTGAAGATAAGACACTACAAAATGCACTTAGCTGATCAAGGCTGGAAAAGAGATGGCATATTCTGCTGATGCTTCTTGTATAGGAAATGTAATCTATATGCCCAAAATTTAATCTGTATGCTCTGACCCCCATGCGTGAGTGAGAAACGTAAAGCATTTTTTTTTGTCATTGAAAACCTGGAAAGTCCCAGTCTTCCTAATATTTCTAGCCTAAGAAACCAAAGGTGAAAATGCACTGAACATCACGGGGAACAACATGGTCTCAAGACACCCTGTGCTTGTCCCAGTTCTTCACTTCATGGTGTGGAGATAAACTGGATGTAGGAGGTGACTTTAGATCCTTTGGGAAGCTCTTCCTGCCATGTGCTGAAGTGGGGTGCCTCCCTGCAGGATGACTAGGTCCATCCCTGCTCTGTTTCGCCCACCATGACAAACACTTGTGTTCTGATGTTTCAGGGGACAACTACTGGGTGATTGACACCGACTATGACAACTATGCCATCACCTATGCCTGCCGCAGTCTAAAGGAGGATGGCTCCTGTGATGATGGCTACTCCCTGATCTTCTCGCGCAACCCCCGTGGCCTCCCCCCAGCTATTCAGCGCATTGTGCGTCAGAAGCAGGAAGAGATCTGCATGTCTGGCCAGTTCCAGCCCGTGCTTCAGTCAGGTACTTTGGGCTCATCAGCAAACTCCCTGAAATAGCTGCGCTGGCAGCTTGTAGAGTAGGTGATGGCATTTGCTGTAAATGTGACAAAATCGTAGCAAAGTAAGTCGTACTCTTTTAGTGACATTTTTTTTAATGTTACATCTGATAAGAAAATGGCTGTGAAGGGAAGTCCATGCATGGGAGAGTGCCTGTAACGGGATGGTTCTGCAAGCCTTAAGTTTGCCCTTATAGGAATCCTGTTCTGAAAACTGTCACACTACCAAAGGAAGATCAGCTTTGTTAGTCTAATAGGTAGGACAGGAACAAGTCTAACAAACGGGGGTTTCTGCACTTGGAAATGCTTGTCTTGGCCACTTGGATAACAGCATCTTACCTTAGATCTGTGCACTATCCTCCAGGAAAGGAGGAGAAGCTGCCTGAGGAAGGAGCACCCTCACTCTTCTTAGCTCCACCATGATTTGTGTCCTGGGGGGGCTGAGAAGCAGAGACAAGGAGCTCTGAGCAGTGGTTCTCGCTGTGTCTGCTGGCAGTGGGAATCAGCAGTTCATTCACATACATGTGAAGAGCATGTCTAAAGTTCACTTTGAAATAACTTTTTTTCTGGCGGCATGGGAACTCCATGGCAGGGGGTTGGAACTCGATAATCTTTAAGGTCCCTTCCAACCCGAACCATTCTATGATTCTGTGATTCTATGAACTGATCTGCTGTCCATGAGAGAGGCAGATAATTTTTTTAGGGTTAAGCTGGAGGCAGAAATTCCTCTTTGTTGGTAGTTGAGTGCCCACATGTTTCACATGTATGCTGCTTTGCCTGGAGATTGGCCCTTCACTAAGCCAGGCCTGAGGACCTGGACTTGTGGGTTGCCACGTGTTCTGCACTGCTGGTCAGGAAATAGAGCTAAAACCTTCTGAAGGACACATCATTGTGTAAGCCAGTCCATTGGCTCTACAGAGCAGGTGCTGGCATCATCCAAGGCTATGGGACTGGTGTGGGCATCCCTGCCCCACACCCCTCCACGTTGCTTGCTGTAGCAGAGAGGGAGGTAGTTGGTTTGTGGCTTATGCCTAGGAGCTCCAGTAAGCTGGAGACTCATGGCTAGCTGGGACTAGCAGAGGCTGCACAAGTGCTGTGCCAGCAGACACAGAGGGTGCAAACAGCAACTTTCGCACCCCACCATCCTGATCTTGGACTGAGATTCAGAAGTACCCTAGGAAGAGTGTAGCTTCACTGAAGACTAGAAGGCTGTTGAAGCACTTCTTTGCAAATTTACTTATAATGACTAAAGTTTACTTTTCTTTCTCTCCAGGGGCCTGCTAGAAGTACACTTTTGATCCTGTCCTTAAGCGCAGAAACCAGACCTCTTGGTCTTGAAGTTGCCACTCAGCTAACAAATAAAGAAAACATAGTGTGTTTTTTCCCGAAAAACACATGAAAATGGGGGATCCGTAAACTGTGTGCAATACAGTACTGACATTTAAATTTTCAAGGTAATATCTAATGTGGCATTTGTCAATAAATGTTTTTAAAAAAAAAATCTCTGGAACTGCTTTTTGTCACCTGCTGTTTTGTCAGGGAGCAGGAAGAGGCTGGTCACAGATGGGAGGTGATATGGCAACCAAGGGTGTCCCCAAGCACGGGCAGGGCAGCGTTCCTCCCCTGCTCCAGGCAAGGAGAGGGGGGCAAGTGTGGTGACAGGGACAGGTCCCCTGACAGTACTGGAAATCCAGACAGCGAGCGAGGGCAGCAAGGCCCCAGGCAGGGCACAGGCAGGCTTGCAAGGTGGCTCCGGCCAGAAACTGGACTGGAAAGTGGGCCAGAGGCAGGGCTTGGGGACCATGGGCAAGGAGTATGCAGGTGGAGGTCCCAGGTGAGGCTGCACAAAGCAATGAGGGCTCGTGGGTGCCTGCAGGGCCTGAGCACACAACACGTACCTCTCCCAGCAACATTTCTGTTTAAATTCTGAAGCTAAGGAAGCCTCTTGAACAACAACTCTAAGATGAGGCCAATCCTTGCTGCCTGGTTATATCTTATGGTTATTTCTGGTACTCGTGTATGCCTAAAAAGCCTGCACAGAGTATTTCTAACTGGGCTCTGAATCTCAAATGCAGTAAAGCAGATGTTCTTTCCAGTAGCACTGCTTTAAATGAGCAGGTACTTGCTCTTCTAATGGCATAAGCTGTAATTTACTTCCCACTGCCTTCATAATCCTGCCTCCAGTATCTAAGAGGTATAGAACTATAGACAGGTTTTATGGCCAAGAGTTTCACAGACAGAGAGAAACTGAAAGAATAGCATCTAACCACTCCATATAGACAAAAGTAACTTGAGTCAGCATTTTTACATATATTGCTCTTAGTAAAATCACATTCACTTGCGTGTTTCCTATGAATAAAACTACCAGTGCAGAGCACCCCCAGCATCCTGCTGAACCCAGCAGCTTGTCAGCAACATAAATTTTAACAAGTCATGATTACCAAGCATAGAGAGAAGGGCAAGAGGAACGCTCCCCTCTCCTGAGGCTTTCGAAAGGTATGCAGTGCAAGGTTCACATTGAGTGAAGACCTTCAGATCTCTACACTATAGAATAGATTCTGCAAGAGGCTTGCACAATCTTACCTAAGTATCCAATGATTATCTACTGCATCTGTTGGAAGAAGCATAAAAACTACTGACTAAAGACTCTTCTCCAAGACCAGAGACATTATCCCAGGGATGCTGGGAAGTCTTTCAAGCTTGCATTTTCCAGGATTTCCAGGTGGGACTTCTAAGGGTCTCAGCCAGCATTGAATAAAGGTCTTCCTTCCTCTTCTGGTCTAGGGAAAGCTACTCTGAGGGGGAACAAGATGGTGAACTACCATCTAAAGATAAGGACAGAATCAGGAGAGTAGCAGCATGCAAGCAATGCAAACAAAACCCCATATAGTAAGAGACTATTGAGTGTTGAGAATGTATCAGCCTTTTGCACTGGAGCAAGTGCAAAGTCAGTGTGTTGATTGTTCACTACTTGCTTCTCTCTCCCAGGAGGAAGTATTGGGGTAGAGATGTGTGGACTTAGGAGTTGTATCACAAGTGATTAGACAATATTAACCCTTAGCTGAAGGAGCCTGACCTTTTGCTAGGACATTCAGACCAATACTACCAGTCCTAGAGAAGGATTTCTAATGTCTACAGTCATAACAACTGTATGAGCAGAGCAGACAGGAGTTCTTGCAAGAAGGATTGACGTGCAGGACGAAGTGCATCCTTACTGTGTTTGGGGTAGTCTGTCCAGATGAGTTAGGTACTGAAATCCCTGCAGGTGCCTCCAGGAAGACAGTGATGATTCTAGAATACACCACAGTGTTATACATGCCTCAGTAATATGCCTTGTTCTTGGAGGAACTAGGGAAACACATTCCCATCCGGACTGCATGCAGGCCCTCATTGTATGATCTGGTGGATTAATACAGATGTGAGTTAGCTCATAGCCATTTTTGTCCACTGACTGCAGGAAATGCGAAAGATGAGACAGGGTAGGGCAGGTAGCTGTGAGCGTATTCTGATCTGATCTCTCTCGTTATTCTGTAGAGTTCAACATAAAATGGCTAGGGTGCATCTAGAGTCAGCCACACTTCGGTGTGCTGTTTGAGCTGGCTGATGAGAACCAGTCTATTACTCCTGATTTTAAGTGTGTGCATAGGTCCCAAGTTACAATTTCTGTTGTGCACAAATTTTCCACTAACAAGAGAAAAGAAAAAGCTGTTTAGGAATGGAAAGGACTGTTGTTTTGTCCTCAGAAGGTCCTTTTGTGTTGGCAGGAAGCCTATGACTGTGCAACAGCAGGAGGAACCCTGCATGGATATTGTCCTTCACATGCCAGTGAACCTCATCCCAGCAAGGGCACCGCAAGTCCTGAGATCTGACTCTATGATATCATGTTGAATTAGACCAGTTTTCCCTGGACTGTGGTAATTGAAGCAATCTAAGCATCTAAATTCTTACTTTGTCCTCAAAATTTCTTATCATCACACTCCTGATACACTTCATTTTTACACACTTCATCAAGCTCTTTTTTATACCTTGAGAATAGGCTTTACTTTCCAAGATTAAGTTGTTGACACAGGAGTTTTGAGCAGCTTCCAGAAGAGTGATCAGATCCTGTTTTTACAGGGCTCATGTGAAAGATTCAAAACTGGTTTTATTGAGTAGCACAAAAGATGGTAACAAATGCAGTATATACACAATTACACAAAACACTCATCTGAAAGGTTTTTCCCTAGGATTCATTTTAACAAACAGTTGCAAAACTATTCCATAGCTTCAGAAGCTTTTTTTTGAACAGCAGGCAAACAATCCCACCTTGCATTTGCAGTTAGATTTTCCTACTTGGATTTATGACCAGTGAGAGACATACCTGCGTGTTCTGCAGTCTTGCTTTGGTTCTGATGCTACAGAACTACTAAGCACCTTCTGCTCCCACCTAGCACTGTGCTCACCTGGCACTTCTGAAAACTGAAACTGTGAAGGGGGACCCAGTAACAGAGGAGACAGTAGAGTTGAACATGCAGTTTTGGAGGCCGTATCAGACAGTCGCTGAAAGAGAGTTACAGAAAAATCAAGTTTCAAGTACTAAATAGCATTTTTCTCTGGACATTAAATTATTAAAATGACAACATCAGCTTAAACCTTCAATACTTTGTTGGAAATACCAAATTCTCATCTCTGCTGCAATTGTTTAGACTTGCTTATTGCTTAAAGGAATAAGTTTACCAAAGCAGCAAAGAAGAAGAAAAAAAACTTAGTCAATATTTAAAACTTGTTTCTCAACAGAGAGTGCACCATTTTTGGTCAGCTCTGCTTTCCATGCATATTTGCCACTGCCAGAAAAATACCTGAAAAGGCACTGTGCCGGCCACACTTTGGTTGATGTTTAATGTAAAAGCCCTAAAAGAGGGACATAGTGACAGATTTTCAAAGTGGCTGGACTTCACCCAAAGAAAGTGGATTTCATTTGAATCTACAACATGTTAAGCTCTACCCTTGCAAATAAAATTTCTGCTTTTTTGTGGCTTCAATAAGCAATACAATAATGTACAAAATTTTACCATGAAACTTTAGAGAAAATAGTACTCTTACTTCACTTTTCAACAAGAGGAAAAAAACTAAGCATAAGAATTGCAAACTACTTCAAAGAGGCAGCTGCAAGCCTCTTGTCTGTCACTGCTGAGAAGCAGAAACTCCCAGCCTAAAATCTTCTAACCTGCCCTAAAGAAAATCACAGGGACAGACACTACAAAAGAAAGTGAAATACAGTGAAAGAGCAAGTGAGTTGCCATTCTCTGTTCTGCACTTCTGTAAAAGCCAAACATTCCACCAGGACTCATCAGCTCTGCACCAATTGCCTCATATATGCTACTATTAACCTCACTTGTGTGAGGTATAATTTAAGTTAAATAAAGCAGGGCAGTGATTTTTGATCTTCTGTTTTCCATGAGTTTCACTTATACATTTTCTGCTATATCCCTGAATAGCAAAAGCAATACTCTTCACAACAGCTATGCTTCATTTATTCTCAAACACCTGTAACTAGTGTATGGTCCTTTGTTTGATAAAGAGTACTATGTTCTGATTTCCAGTGTGGGAAAATTTTAAAGCAGAGGACTACTCAAATAGGACATCCTAACAGACTAAATTGTCCTCCCCAGTTTCAGATGCACTGAAATCTCTCAAGGTCCTATATTTGAACACTTCTAAAAGTATTTTTTTTCTGTGGTTCCACTTCATACTGGCAAAACAGTATGTCTTAACCACTAGATTTTATTTAACTGTATTTTCTGATTTTTCACTTAGGGGCAGCTGTAACAACTTTAAAATGTATTTTTACTATCTCCATCCAAGTAGAACATCTCACTAACTTTTTTGAAACTGAGAAAATTACCATTTAATTAGGGTCCAATGGCCATTTGATGTCCTGCACAAGCCTTTATGGGAAAGCAATTGGCAGATTAGCATGTGACAAGCGCTCCTCATTCAAACTTCAGTGACAAAAGAAATACTTCATCTCAACTGTGACAAAATTAATCTTTGAAGGCTGACTTTCAACATAAGCACAAGAAGAAGTAACCAGAAGGTAAGGAGACACAAGATACAAGATTACAAGTTAATGTAATATATACTGACTTTTTGTATGTTTCATTTTTGTGCTGTAAAAGTGAGGCCATTTGAGGTAGTTCAGCTCTCTCCTACTGTGCAAACTTGGTTTTTTTTGTCTGAGACCTGAATGTTTCATCAAACATGCAGTCTTTGTTGTTATATTGGTGAGGTGGCTGATGTCAGCAAAGAGAGCAGTAGGGGATTTGTTTGTGTGACAAAGTTGCTCCTCTTATGGAAAACATTCCAGCTGTTTTCACTGGCATTCATCCTTCCCCCTACCAGCATTTTAAAGGCACAGTTCAAACTGTGCCAGTTGTGAAAAGGGGAGAGTAAAAAAACACTCCTGTTTTTTTCAGGGAACTTTGCTGTTACATAAAGTGTTTGGCAGCTGCAAGGACAGCCAGAGGTGCTCTGCAGCCCATGATCTGCAGCTATCACACCCTTGCGCACACACTTTGCAAAGCACAGGAACTCAAAATGTTCTTGGTTAATTTTCCAACTGTCAGTAGCAGCCCTGTTACATTCAAGAGACTGCTCTCCTGCATTATGACAAGACATAAGGCTCTAACTAGCATTTCAGCTTTCTCCTGACCGCCCAAAGCCAAGCCTCAGGTCACTGGGGAGAGACACTAGTTATAGAGGTTGTAGAAGGAGGCTAGGTGACAGCAATGTAGAGAATGAAGGGCTCTCAGGGTTAGAGCCTTCACCACAAAGAGGCAGTGGCTGATGGCCAGAGTGAGAACAGGTGAATTGGGCAAAAGCAAAAAGCAGAAACGGCAGGTAAGTCTGGAGGCTTCACCACCCTGTGTCTTCTTCCCCTCTGAGGATGAGCTGCTATGCTGTCTTCTGCCTATGTCAGGGAATAGCTCTGGCCTTCAAGTAACAGCCACAAATGCAGAGACAGCTGGGTAGAAACCCCTCTGTGAGAGAGTGAAGAATCGCATATATCTGAAGACATGTCAAGTGCTCTGAAATAACCCACTAGAGCATGTGTGACTAACCAGCAAGGAAGCAGGAATCCTCATTTCATGCTCTAGACACATCTGGTGGCTGTACACTTTTCCATCGAACCATTACATCAGGACAGCCTGGCAGCTGAGGCAGGCAGTTCACTCTCAGACAGGTCCTCCTTGTTCCTTTGCTGCCATCCTCACTCATACAGTGAAACAATGGTCCTGTTCCTGCTGCAATGTGTTACCTCTATACATCTTTGGTTGTCCGGGCCATTAGCTCAGTGTAAAATAGGGAATAATAAATGTTTATTCCCTTAATTCCTAGTTACCAAGCTGAATCCCAGTCTTACTGCAGCCTGTTAAAATTGTACCAGTTGGGTTGTCAGTTGTGGCAGTTTGATAATGCTGTCTTTCGAGCTCTGAAGAGTTAATAGAGGCAGTTGCTTCTAACTTGCATTCCTAACTTGCTTCATCGGTACTCCTTCCTCAGCTTGGGAGGAGTTTATTTTTCTGGGGAGTTGTCATTTGCAGGGAGCATACGCCACTCAGTCACCAAGCCAGGCACCATTCTTCAGAGTCACTTGAAAGCTTCAACATACTCCACAGGAAGAGAGAAGAGGCCTGCCTTCCCCCAGTAGTCAATGGCACGCACTCTGTAAAAGCCGGAGACTGAGCTTCCTGCAAATGAAAAGGTTAGAAACGATCACTGTGAAGGCTGACACCTGTGATGCATGGAGGATATGGAGCTGGCACTGCTTCTGTAAAATGCAGGTTTGTGGAATGGGCTGGTGAAGGGGTGAAATCAGTTCTTCATCCTATGTGTGTCTGTGCTTGTCTGACTAAAAATTATTATCAATTCCCCATGGCCAACTACTGGCTCTTTGTCTTTGTTGGACCAAGGACCTCCTTTCCCCTCATAAGGATTTGCAAGTTCAACTACAGTAGTCCCTTTGGAAGACGGCTATGACATGTTCTGCAACCCTCAACTAGTAATTCTTTTTTTCTGACTAACTTTTCTGCCTCAATTGTGCCTTTGGAACAGGTTAGGTGTTAGATCAACAAAGAAGAGAACAAGCAACATGCAGGCTGACTGAAAAACCCCTGCTCAACTCAGGAGGCAGCACCACTTGCTCCAAAGGTATGTGCGTTGAGGTTCTGTGGCTCTGCTGGTTTTTGTCCTCAATCTAGTTTGAAGAGCACAGCCTTCACTAGCAGAGCCTTTAACCTTACAAGCAATATACAAAACCAAGCAATGTTTTTTCTCATCTATTTACTTGATTTTTATGTGTGCTTTAGTATTAATATTTTTTTTCTAAAAGAAAAAGAATGCTAGAAATAATGAGTCAGAAAGAACCACCTAGTAATAAAGGCTGCTGAGATGTGAGATTTTTTCAAGCAGTCTTTTCTTTTTTGTTTTTGAAACAAACAGTTAAATCTAGCTCTGAATTTCATTATGCACCCACTGCTGATGCTAAGCCTTTCTCAGGCTTGTGTTTCTGACAAAAAACCTCTCTGAATTGCTTTTTATTAGTACCACTTTGAGTCAAGGTCTGTCTGTGTTTCACACATCCCTGACCACTGCTTATTAGTAATACTTGTTGGACAGTCACATTGCAGATTAGACCACATTTGGTAAAAAAGCCCCAAAACCAACAGAAAAATACACAAAGAAAACATCACTCACTATCGTCTTCCAGCATTTTTCATCTGGGTATATTTCTATTGCATCTAGGCTGTACTTGAGGAGAAATGACCAAAGGCTCTTGGAGAAGCTTTGTCTGTTGACAAAGATGAAATTCGCTGCCCACTAATATGAAATAACTAAAACTTAGGTGGCTCATCAGGGCCTCTAAAGAGAAAGTCCTACAAAACAGCAAAGAGAGGGGTCTCTCTTTGGCTGGGTGTTCAGATAGTCAGGACAAACTGTCCTAAAGGAGGACCTCTCCTGTTCTTGGAAGTGAGCACCTCAGTAGTTTAAGACTGCCAAGCCATAAAGGGTATGGGAACAGGGAGAGGTGACCATGACGATAGCAGAATTGTGACCTTCCCGTGGGGCAGCTCAGAACACAACAAATGCAAGAAACCCAACTGTTCAATGAAAGGTGGACGAGATCTCCCACTTACTTGTCTGTTGATGCCATTACCCTTAGGCAATTTAACACCTCAAGACTCAGTGGTACAAAACATATGTTGCCAAGGCAGTTTGCTCCTACTGCCCTACCCCAAGAGCATTGTACAAATTTAGGCAAAGGCATGGCCAATACTTGTGGGACTGAGCCCAAACCTTAGACTTTCCTTGCTCTGAGTCTACTACCAAGAGCACAACACCAAAAAATTCAGTGAAAAAATTCAGTGAAAGCTCCAGTCACGTGGAGCGATTTTTTTTGTTCTCATTTTTGCATGCTTCTAAACCAGCTACAAATAGAGACAAAAGTACTGCTTTAGCTCTCAGAAAGCTTTCCAGGCCTGCAGCTGGGTGAGTTTCATTTCTGTGACAAGGAATTTACTTATGGCAATACTCCTAATAATGTCCTCATGACTATCTGTCAATTAGTGCTTGTTCTTGAGAATATGGCTTTCACTGAGAAAGTGGTCCTAATGGAAGGGACATGCTCTTATTTGTGATGGGAGTGTATGTCACTAGCAAGCTATATATCTTCAATAGTTACTAACTGATGTTTCACACACTTATGAGTGGCAGTATTAACATGACAGCTTACATAATATACGTATTCTTTCCTTACCTGGACTGTAGACCCAGAGAGTAAATATTGTGTCTTTGGCATTAATCCGCTGGTACGCTTCTCCATCTGGCGAGAACTGCACTTCAAATGTCTTTATACATCTAGAAAAGAAAACAAGATAGCTCAGTAAATACAACTGATAATACAGTGAGCAATCAAATCCTAATCTCAGGGCATTTCAACAAAGAAGGCCAAAAATAGGAAATATTCAATTGACTCATTCCTAACAAATGTGGGATGGCATGAATTGTCAATATTATGAAGAACCATGGCTCCAACAGCCCACAGAACACCCAGACCGACTTGTTAATTTTGCATACTTGCAGCATCTCAAACTCTTAAACATTTTTTGCTTCCAAACCAGAGTTACCAAGGCTGAAGAATCTAGGGAGACTGGCTTGTGAAGGAGCTAAGTGCTTCCTGAGAGAGTCTGGATGGACACCGGATTGCCTCTGACAGTTCACCTACAGAGGGGTTTCCAGTCTAGTACAGCTTGCTTAAGCAAGAAACCAGAGGTTTTCTTTTCCAGCTCACATCCCTTACAGGAATGTGCAAGAGCTCACTTAGGCACCTGCTGCTAATATAACTTTTATCCTGTGTGCTATGTTGAAGGAAGACCTTCAAAAATGTCATTGAATGCTGATGAGCAACAGGCAGATTCCCTTGCTCAGACTGCAAATTACTCAGGGTTACCCTCCATAGTTACTGTATGTACATACTACAGTTTCATTTTGACACACAAATGCACTGTAGCACCTCTCAAGGAGCAATGTGCTAGTAACTAGGTTATACCCACTTTATTTTAAAGGCTACTTACTTTGAATTTACACAGCCATCGTCCCACAACACAATGACCTGCCCCTTTGTGAGAGGTATCAAACGAACACCGGTCACCTGTCCAAAGACATATGTCCATATAAGAAAACTGAACAAACCAATCAGCCAGGTCAGATTTATGTGTTTATCCTTCCTCACTAACTATTTGCTTTGATTCTTTCAATTGAGACGTGGGGGAAAAAAACAAAATTCCTGGCTCTGTGGCTTTGTAGTCTATGTCTCCAACCTGTCAACCTTATAGAGGACCTTCAGAGGCTCTGGGCACCACTAAGAATAGGGGTGGGACTGAAGGAGCAGATACAGATGTCTAATCTATGACAGCCACAATTCCATTTTATTTTTAGCTACCAGTTACTACCTGGAGAGCTGTTGTGAAGCCTGGTACACATGATGTGATTTGCAAAAGGATACTGAATTTTCCAGTACTGCATTAGTATTTTCCCACCATGGATAAACTTGCATTTATGCCAGTGATGGCTCCTATCCCTTGCTGTGGAATGCAAGATAAACTTGAATTATGTCTTGGAGAGCCTTCCCATCAAAGGAGAGAATTGTTTATTTACTAGGTCTTACACGGTACTTTTAACAAATAATAGGTCCAAATGCTAGTACAGCTCTTCTTAGTGAGACTTAAAGCAGCAAGCAGTTTCTAATCTGGTAAGTCTGATAGTAGAATACAACACATACTTGATCAGGAACAGATCTGGGTCTTGCACAGATGTGGATAAGAAAGACTGAGGGAACGGGAAAGTCTTGCTTCAGTGTCAGGATGCCACCTTCAGGAACTGGGAATGGGCCTGTTGTCACTGGGTCCTGTGGAGCCAAAGAGAAGCTTTGTGAATAATCTTTCATGACAGCACCTAGAAGCCAACTGTTACATCAGTGTAAAGTGACTGTGTATTTACTTTGGGACTGTAAATTTCCAATAGAGTTGGTGCTGATAAGTGGCTTACAGCCATCAAAATTTTTTAAGCTGGGAGACTTTTCTACCTTGCCTGTTTTCCAGCTCTTCAGAAAACAGAGGGGTTTTTATCTCACAAACTGGGTTGATCACAAATGTCCTTTATACGCGATCTGTCGCATTTAGTAACCTACCACAGATGTCTTTCAGACTAGTGGTCTTTACAAATCATACCTCCGTCACTTAGTTATGGATTCCCAGTGTGCAGTGGAAGCTATTGCTAGCTACAACAACCACTCAGCTGGTCTCTGTAAATGAGGTTTCGCCAGATGGTCAAGAGCATCTAAAACCTTGCTGCTGTCCTTGTTGATTTGATGGGTTCTATAATATCTCACAGGCCTCAGCAACAGTGGGTTATGGTACACCAAAGTCAGAAGGCAATTACTGTCTATGGGCCTTTATTTTAACCTGGGTGTCTGAATGCATAGGGAAACGATGGGACAGGGAGCTCAAGTGACAGGCTGCTCATACAATCTCACATACAGTAAGTAATCTGGGCATGGCTTTTCTCAGCAGGGAGGAGAGGAGCCCTCGGACAGGGCTTACTCCTCAGTCCTCTCTGGCGTCAATTCAGAACTGGTGAGGATGAGGGGAAACTGCAGGCCTCCCCTTGAGATGCCAACTGACTTCTGAACTTGCACTGGGCAGTTTCCATCTCAGAGAGCTGTTTGTTTCCTGTTATTGAGAGGTTCATTTCAACTCTCTACCACAGCAATTTGACCCTTCTGTGATATACACAGGGTGATGTGACTTATTTGGGGTCTCAGAGCTCATTGAAGTTTCAAAGAGAAGGTGGAACTTGCTCTGGAGCAGCTCTGCCCTTGTTAAAGGTAGCACTAGGTGGCCCCCTTAAGGGCCACTAGCAAAGAAGTTGGTAATCTACATTTAGTTTCTTGTATAACCAAATGCGAAGGTATCAGTTGTGTATCAGCTACACTTCTCTGCATGACTGCAAGTGTCATTTTCATACGCATACAAGATGTGCATGACTGTGAGCTAAGGAAATTTTGACTACCTGAGCTCATTTCTCGTCTCTCTACCTGTAGTTAACCAATTCAGAAGCACTTTACCCATAAAATACTTCAAGCAAACACATGGTCATACCTCAGCATCCCTTATTTGCCGGAACTGTTCTGGGGAAGGAAAGTCAGGGCTTCCTAGCTTTTTCCACTTCAGGTGGGGATTGGTTTGGTTGTTATCCAGGTAATATGTCACATACACCAGCTCTTTAAGAACACAAATTAAAGAGAGTAAACTCTTTACTTGAATTTAAAGATTAACAAGAATAATTTTAGCAGAAGGTGTTTAAGTCTACCTTCTCAAAAGTGCTTTCAGCACTTTGAAGCCTGGCTTCGCTGGAAAGTCACAAGGCTAGCAATCTTACAAGGCTCTATAATTTATATTTGCCAAGTTTAAATTTCAAGCTATTACGTCCATGTCTGGAATTGAAACCCTCCTATTTTTAACACTGGTGCTGCATGCATAGGTTGGACAACTGCATCAACTGTGTAATCATGCAGTCATGTTGGCCATCTTGGAGTCATCCAAGCAAGGGAATTGTTTCCTGGCAATATCCAGCCAAGGACACTGAGATTAATGGCTTTCTGAAAGGTAGCACTTGCAGCTCCCATTAGAGGCAGCGTCAAAGTGCAGGCATTAGGAAAGACGCTTTCCTAGAAGAGCACCATCATATCTCAGAAAATCTGGGAGTGCCCAACAGACTGCCCAACAGAGAAAGTTAGCAAATGAAACCCTTTCTTGCAATGAAAGGCAACTCCACACAAGTGTTCTAGCAGATGTTCTATCCTAAAGATAATTATACGAGCTGCCTACATTATGTTTGTTTACCTTTGAGTTTGGGGAAGTGGGTGATGTTCACTGTGACAGCGCTGATGTTGGATGAAGTCCTGTTATCCTCACTTGAATACATCAGTAGAGTAGCTTGCCAACTGTCTGAGTGTTGCATCTCACTTGGGGTGTGTACTGATGCCAGGATGCCAATTGTGCTGTTTTGAATGCTTTCACCTTCACAGCTCTTCACTTCTGCAAAAATCTGCTTTTTTCCTTTAAAAAATGTGACAACTCTGTAAGCATCACTGCTAGGCAGCCCTGTATTAGCTTCTGATAGGGTCAAAATGTAGGGTCAAAACACAGGGATCTATAGATTAAGCTATCCTTTAGCTTATTTTACCAGGTATAGCATTCAGTCAGGCTTCTTTTACAACAGCACAGCATGCACATACTACAGCAGTTCTTATGCTTAGCAGGTCAGCTAGCAACATCTAAGCACATAACAGTGAATACAGTGAATTGGGATCTTCCTCTAGTAATTCTTAAAGACATCTGCAGCCTGATGTGATGGCACAAGAGGGAAGTACCAGTCAACAAAATGCTGAAATGGTTGGCAGACAGAAAATATAAACAAAGCAGTAAATTACATCAGATGGATAACAGACTGTCAGGAACATCTCCTGAGCTATTAATTTCTCAGAGGAAATGAAGTCTCATTTTCTTAACACAGCTGGCAAACTGAGTGTAGGAGAAATCCTGCTTTTATCAGTGGTGAGATGGCTGGAATAATCTCTCTTAGGCATGAAGCTTCTAGGTAGAAGATGTTATCGATGTGCATTTGTCGTGGTTTTGACCGAATTGACCAACCAGAGTGACAGATGGCCCCTCCCTCCCCCTCCTAGGGAAAAGAGAGGAGAGGAAGAGGGAGATAAAAAAAATCCGTGGTTTTGACCGAATTGACCAACCAGAGTGACAGATGGCCCCTCCCTCCCCCTCCTAGGGAAAAGAGAGGAGAGGAAGAGGGAGATAAAAAAAATCATGAGTTTAGAAAAAGACTAAACTACTTTAATGAAAATATAAATAAATAATGAAATAAGAAAAAGAAAAGGGAAAAAAAAAAGTAAAATAAAATAAAAATGTATACAGTATATACAAAACCGTATCAAGCTCCCAGGATGACGATCACATCACCAGCAGGCACAGGGGAAAGTCCCAGGCTGGACTCGGTGATGGACAGGAGCCAGATTCCAGATCTGGAGTCAGGAATACTCAGATTGGGATCAAAGGCAGACGAACAGACAGGGTCCTCCTTGGACGTCGGCCATTGAAGGAAGAGACTTGACCCTTTGATCCCTCAGCTTTTATACTGAGCATGATGCGGATGGGATGCAATACCCTGTTGGTCAGTTTTAGGTCACCTGTCCTGTCCATTCCTCCCTACAGGTGTGACCCCTCTACTCTTTTCCGCTTCCAAAACCTCCAACAGGGCAAATAACAAATTTGCCTGACCTTAGTTGTTATAGCAAAAAGCATAAGCAGGGGCCTCTCTGCATACCATCCCTTGGTATAATCAGGTCTTATCACTGTGAGAGTGAACAGTTTCTGAACAATATGCTGTTAATTTCAGAGTTTAGTTAGTCAGAAGAGGCCCAGCTAAAAAAGTAAAATTACTGAACAGAAAATTAGTTCTGTTTTACCTCAAACCAGGACAGCATTTTAATCAGTATTTACTATACCTAGCAATGCCAGCAAGCCCATGACAGTCAGCACTGGTTTCCGCACCATCTGGACATGAGGTGGCTTTGTATTGTTCATCTGGAAACGTGCTGTCAGAGTTCTCTGTGTGAAGTAATAGGGGTAGTAGCTCAAGAAGGCGTTGTCGTTACTCAGCAGTGTGTAGTTGATGGTGTTGTTGGCTTTGGAAATGAGCAGGTTTTGATGCTGGATGATTACCTGCAAAGTCATAGATAAGACAGAACTTCACCCTGGAGAAAATCAAACAAACACACAATGTCTGTATGTTTTTAATCTTTACCGCATCTTGAAAAAAGCTGTTACTCTGCCATTTAGAAAAGTCTGAATAACTAAACTGTTCCTCACCACTCCTGAAGAAACTATTCTTTAGGTGACATATTAATCACTGGAAAAAGTGAAGTATCCACATAGTTTTGCCAGTAAAAAGTCTCTGAAATAACTAATTATGAATATATATTGGCTACTGGACTACAGATGATGCTCTCTGTCTTGAATATTAAATTAGTAATTTGGATTTACCATCTGAATTAAATCTAAATGGTCCTCCAATTCTGGAGTTACTTTGTTCCCTTTACATGAGTGTCCTGGATTTTGCTCCTCAATGAGTCATTTTATCCACTTGGTGCTAACATGGAATTAGTTCTCCCAGTATTTCACTTGTTGCTGCGCTGCTTTCCTGAAAAATGTCAGTGCTCCCAAGCTCTCTGTTTACCAGATTGTCCGTAGGTATCAGAATCAAACAGAATTTCAGAAGGCTCACAACTGAAAAGGTGTCATAATTATGTTCCTGAAGGAACACAGGGCTCCAGTTCCTACCCATCCAAGTATTAGTTTTCCTTTGGATGTGGGTTTTTTTTGCATTACTATGTTATTATACACACTGCTGTTTCTTGTCAAAAACTCCCTGCAATGCAGTCAGCAACTGGTTGCTTTGGAGAAGACTGCTTCTGTATGGAGCCTCAAGAAGCTGAGAGACTGTCTCCACAGGAACAGCTGATAAGACGTATCTTGTTTCCAGGTGACATACGTGCTTCCAGGTTTGGGAATTACTACTTTGCACAGCAGCACTTAGACTCTGGATACTGTATAAGACAGTGGCTCACACAACAACAGGCCTGCAGTGGGAACTACTGCTATGCAGGGGCACGGGCTGAGTTCACTCTGGGGCCAGGCTACAATTCCTGCAGGGCCAGGAATGCTGAGCATTCTCTTCTATTTATGCTTTTCTGATCAACAGCTGTAATTACTAGCAGTAATTAATAAGAACACATGTACAATCATTATCCAAAACCAAAGAACATGCTTATGATGAGAACTCAAGGGACTTCTTAATTATATCTTGATGAGATAAACTTATGAAGGAGCTGGGAAATAACGTCTTACATAAGTGAGGTGATAGCTAGCAGTAGTGAGGTGATAGCAGTAGTATTTCATGAAGAGAGGATGTGTGGGTATAGTCTTCTCAGGTGCATCTGACTGGGGGACTGTATACAATATCTATCACATTCTCCAACACATGGAAGGCATTTGGATTTTTTAAGGGAAGACAAAAAAAACTAATACAAACTAAATAAAGCCACTGAAAACAGACTATTCAGGGAAACTCCAGCTGTATCAATATGGAGCTCTCCTTTTGTTGGATGTATTATTCTGAGGAGCTGCCTAGAAACTGTGTAAGTTTACTTTTGTAACTGCATTAATGCATCAGGAGACCCTACTGGGACAAGACCGTCAATGAACTGAGTTACCTTTACAACCATAGCGGCATAGGTCACATCAGCTCGCCACAGTTCTGGAATGGACCATCCAACCATCGGATCTGCTTCATCGTTGTATATGGGAACAGAAGCAAAATTTGGAAACAGCTTCTGAATTTGTCCAACTGTTTCTACTTCCTGTTGCAAGATGTAGAGAGAACTCCCACCTCCCTGCAACAATATTTCGTATCTGCTTAGTGAAAGTGAGCAAACAGTAGTAAACACACAGACATAACATACAGACAAGAACACATTCTGAAAACATATTTTTGGAGTTCCTGAAGAGCTGTAGGCCAAGTACTATTTTAGTAGTTTTTAGCTAATACATTACAGCATGTGCTCTTTGCATAAGCTCCTCCTAGAACAAAACGGCCAACAGGTAGAGGAGCTGTTTCCCCCTGGAAATTAGGGAAAGACAAATCTGCTTTGAGTTGAACTCCTGCAGCTGAACATCTTAGAATAGGTAGCCATGCCTGCTGTTGTAGGTTGGACACTCATAACTTAATAAATTAGAGTAAGATGTAACTTGAACTGATTTAAAAAATAGCCTGAAACCGAAATCTTGCACTGACCTTCTTATGAAGAGAGATGTAGTCCAACCTTATACCAGTCTCCCCTGTGAAGAAGTTAGTTCCATTGTAGCAATGACTCAGAAGACTCCAGCATATGGGTGACTTGGGTAAGGGGTGGAAGGAATCCCCAGGCCCTCCAAATTTTAGCAGAGGACTGGCTGCTCTTAATCCTTCTGAGCAAGCATCATAATAATTGAGAAACCCTAAAGTCCAAGCAGACGCATATATCAAAGATGACTGACAACTCAAAACAGAATCTTGACCTCAAACTACAGGGATATGTTATAATTCTATTATTGCATTTATTGGCAGGACCTTACAAACTGGGGCTACTCTTTCCTATGCACTGACAAAGAAGAAGACATGAAAACCTCAGCTTCATTAATAAGGTTCTTCCAAAGGTCTTGTGAGGACAGGTTCCTAAAACAGTTTTCTTTTTACCCCACCCTTCATGCCCTTTCCCTCAGTAACCTTACTTTATATCCAAATAATAAACTGCATCTCCTTAGTATAACTTCTGGTCTGTTTTCCCCGTTCTACTATCCCGGTATTTACACTGATGTCCAAGCAGGGAACATAGTCAGTATCATGACCTTAGAAAAACAGACTAGATATACCTTTCAAATTCCTTCTCTCTCCTACCCACCTTATTTCTTCACCAGCATCTCTCCTTGATCACTGTCACCCCTCCACCCATCCCACTCACCCGTTTCACTTCACTACACTAGCAAGCGCTCCAAAACATGCTTACCTTTCACTGTCATAGACACATTGTCAAAGTTGTGGTGGTCTGGTTCATTCCATGTTTCAAAATTCCATTTAGCAACATGCTGCAATCCGTACCTATCTGTAGAAGAGACCTCATTTATCAGTGAGTTGCATATTCAGACAATCCTATCAATTAGTCACTGATGCAGACGATCCTATCAATTAGGCCTGCAGGTGAGGTTCAGCATACAGAGCTACAACAGGGTATGAATATTGCCCATTTTTAATAATGAGGGAAATGTGATTTTGGTAGTTTCAAAATGATCTCTCATTTTCAATGTCATGTGTAATATTTGAAAAGGTTGAAAGGTGAGAGGGGCGTGATGGGAATTACAGTCCTAACTCAGGTTGGGCTTCTGTCTCAGTAGAGGTATTTGAAGCTGGCAAGTGGGAAGTATTCAGGCTATCATGTCTCAGTGCTAGCTGGTGCTTTACAACCACAACGACATAATAAAGTTCAAAGTCAGTCCTGAGAGGCAGGCCAAATATGCTACCCAGAACACAGTACTCATTCAGGATGTTGGTCACAGATCAGTAAAAAAAGGGGCTATTATCCTATTGTCTGTTCTGGCATGGGGTTTTTCTTACTCTGTGCTGAAATCTAGGGTGTTGAAATTGATCATAATACATAGAACTTTTTGAGGTAAGTAGAAGGGATTACAACAGAACATATAACAGGGCATTTTCCATCTTTTTTGTTTTGTTTTTTTTTAACTTACCTATGTATCTGCTGGCCAGAAGTGTTATTAAGTTTCTCCATCTTACTACCTGTTCTTTATTTTCAAAATCCAAAAAATATCCTGATGGATTCCCCATCAATTCAAATCCTAGAAAAGAAACAAAAGATTGCTCTCCTTTTTTTTGGTGAATGCTATGTCTTTTTGATTAACAAAGGGGTTATTGCATTATCTGAAACAAACTTGCTAATGAAGAAGCATCATTAAATGGACTTTCTTTTCTGTTCCTACATGTCCCCACCATGAATATTTCGGATTTGAGGCTGTTGACACTCTTTTTACTTATCAATGACTACAGCAGTCGATACTAATACTTAGCATCATAAATTCAGGGATCAGATGGAACTTTAAACAGTGCATGTTTGCAGAAATTTAGGGGAACCTATACCTTGAGTATCTGCTTCTCTGGCCTTTTTAGGTACCTGCTAATAGGTACAAAGCTTCCTCCTCTTCAAGAGATCTAATTTCCCAATTCATACATCTCAAACTGTTGCTAAAAGCCGTGTAAAACCATTTGTGTTGTTCTTAATTGGCTTTATAGTGTTTTGCTCACACTGCTTACATGTACAGAGACATGAGGTAAAGGCAAGTAGGAAAATAATTAATTTTTATCAAAATCAGCTTTGACACAGTTCTCAAAGTATGAGTGCACAATATGGGCAAACAGATGTGGCAAGCTGGGGAGGCAGGGAGCTGCCCTTACCTGGAATTAGCTTATTTTCCCACAGGCGATCCATAAGGTTATCCAAGGCAGTAAAATTGTAATGAAGTTTCCCATTTATCACTCTGAAGAATACAGGTAATATAAAGTACAAATGTAAATATTACAGCAACAGTAGCACTTGGTTGCAGATAACAGGTCAGATGGCTGCCTTCTTTTGGCTCTCAAAATTTACATGTAAGTAGGATTCTTGGCATGGTACACAAACTTCCTTCCTCTAAAGTAACAGGTGTTCGCCATAAGCAAGTCATGTTTCTTGTTCAATCCATACCCTTTTCCTGTTCCAGCAGCAGCAATAGAAGCAATATAATGAATTTGTTTGCTGGATTTTGAGTTTCAACAGGATATTAGGATTTCTAACTCTTTGCTGAAGTGAAATTTACCTAGACTTTTTTTTGGTAAGCTGTTTTTTCAGTTTCCATTATCTCATATGCAGTCTTTCTTAACGTTCTCTTAACTTGCAACATATAATAAAGCTCTCTTAGTAGCACTTCTTATGGGTTTTGGTCCAGCTGAGAAATAACACTGTATCACTCAAAGAATGCTGAATTTATGCACACATCGTCTTTAATTTTTATTGCACTGTTAGCATTTGCTTGCTATTTCTCCTGTACTCCCATGATCTCAGGCTGCAATCCTTTTACCCAGCTTTGAATATATGTGTTCAAAGACTTAGGAGTAGCACCATGATATGAATCTTGCAGGAGCACAGGTAGTAAAATTCGGGCATTCACCCATATGGAAACACTGGAGTTCTCTTACCCAGGGGATGAAAACCGGTATTTGCTAACTATCTATGCTTTAAATTTGATGATATGCTTTAAATTCCTGAAAGGCTTTTCTTGCCTGGTATCCAATCAAAGAAAATATAATGTAATATGTGGGTAAGTTATTTCCCATAACTTCTGAACTTGTGGCCTGATTTAACTGAAATCTGAGACAGTGGCAGAAGTTTTGCTGGTATGAAGTGCCAAATAGGAATTGAACTTCTGTGGACAATATTCTGGTAATGTGACTTACTGCCATTTGGCCCAAGCCACAGCCTTGGCCTAGTGCCCAAATTCTGACCTCAGTACACGCTGAGCAAAAGGCTTTGTAAGCACCCTTGAGCTAAGTCCAGCCTTGGTCATATAGGAGGGCTGCTCAGTGTTTTGCCAGTCTCTCAAAGCTGATTTCTCCAGTCTTGCCAGAGCACAACACTTAATTTCTCTGGTACAGTGCAGCCTGAGCTCTGCCATCTTCCCTACTCTTTCCTGGGCACTTTACCTCTGCTTGGATGGAAAGGTGTACCAGTGAACTGCAGATGCAATGTCCTAGCTTGATGGAAGGCGGAGAGACAATCACAGTTCCTGTAACTGATCAGTGCTAGCAAGGCATGCTGGTCACACAGGATAAAAACTGAGAACGGGGCAGTCAGCAGATCTCTTAAATCAATGCTGGACTCTGTGCTGAGATTCACAAATAAATAATTTCTCTCTATGCCGTCCTGTGTCTTAGATTTAGGCTCTTTCTCTGTGCTTTCCTGCCAAGGGAAGGTTTCAGTGAAGAACCTGCAATAGCAATCCTGAAGTTCTCTGAGAATTAAGAAGGGCTGACACAATTGCCTAATGAATAAAGAAGAGAACTGTGCAGCCTGAAGAGGACAAAGTGACATCAGTATCTCTGACTATGACTTAGAAGAGGAAAACAGGACAGGCAAAACAAATGTAACATAAGCCATATCCACTGTACCAGCTCCACCTGTGATATAACCATGCACACAATCTTAGCCCCAGCATGGTCACACTCTTTTACCTAGGACCTGAAGCTAGCTTTTCTCTTTTAAAGTATGTCCTACCACATGACAGAAATTGTCATGTCTGCAGCCACTGATGGGCTTGCAGTTCTTGCCAGAGCCAAATGGTGCAACTGTGAAAGAAACAAATAGCAGAAAGATATTTATTTACTTTAGTATCTGTAAGAGCATTTTAGAAGTTACTATTGAACTAAAGAATGGCCACTTGAACTTCGGGTTTCTTTTGGCTTATATAGAGGTTAAAAAAAAGTTTGACAGTCCTATTCCGAAGTTCAAAGGCAAATGCTTTGTTGCAAAAGGTAGCTCCGCTCCCTCAGACGTATTAACTATTTCCAGTTGTACCTTGTGTTCTATTGAAATATTTGCTTACATGCACACTTACAGTCAGTGAGTATAAGAATGATTAACTCTACTGTCTTGTAAAAACTTAATAATGCCATTTAGATAATAGCAAAGGAACTTAGTCTTCCCAAGTCCAGTCTAAGGTCTACACAGTACTACGTGAAAACATCTGGGTAAACAAGGCCTTCTATCTGGTGCATGTACACTTAAGAACCCAGTACATCTACATTTTTCCTCCTGTATCAATTAAGTAAAACATTTAAAACAAAATGCCATTGCTAGCCATGACTGAAGTGATGGTACATGAGTGTTATGTGTGTAGGTATAGAGGCACTTCTTACATCCATTGGCTGATCTGATACTTTATGAGAATCTTTTCTTGCTTGCAAATGGATTAGGCAGTATGTTCCTATTAATAAACTGATTTCTTGATTGATAGGACTGCTGCTTTTTCAGATATTGATCTTATCCTTACCCATAATACTTCTCTGATGTGAAAGTGATGCTTTTTTAATAACCTATACAGGACCACTGGAATTTGGGTTGTAGGGTTGCATGGTTGCATGCCCTGCGGTGTCTGGAAGCCATGCTGAATGTCACACATGAGGCACAGCAGGAATCTCACAAGCTGGAATTACTTACAAAAATTCTGCCTGGGGAAGACTGGCTCAACTGTCAGGCTGAGTGCTTCAAATATAGGAATTTTAGGACACTGAAGACCAGATCACAACTGTTTACAGGCATGTGACAAGGTAAATCCCCAGATTAATCCATAGGACAAATTCACCTGACATTGTCAAAGTTGCTCAAAACAGCTTTGTACATCTGACTTAGGACCTGCTGGTGCAGCATACATACCTACAATTGGTAGCTTTGTAGCAAGCTCATAAACTTTTTTGCCTGCTCTTCTTCTGATCTCTGCCCTCAAGCATGGTTTCTAGACACCAACGTCTTCGTTTATGAACATGCAGAAGGCTATGTCCTTGTCATTTCATTTGAGTGCTTGCCAGACTGCTTCCCTGTTTGCTGTTGGCTATTTCTGATGTGGAGCAGCAATCACTGTCTTGTCTGTACCTGGCTTTCAAAGTGGGCTTCTTCTGGGAGACTTGTCAAAGAAGGTCTTCCTCGTAACAAGCAACCACACTTAAGCATGTTTACTGGCATCCTGGCACCAATGCCCTTGTAAGCCCCAGGCTTGAGGCTGCTATATTCCAGAGATTACTGCCTGCTGGTGTGGTGTCTTTCTGGTCTTTGTCATGGTTTCACTTCCAGACCCATTTGCTGCCTCTTGATAGCAACAATGGTGCTGTGAACATGAAGAGCAACAACAAGTGTGGAGGGGAGCCTGCTGGCTGCCACAAAATCTTTTTGCTCTCTTCCTCAAAAAGGTTTGCTTTGTGCACTATCCTTTGCTGAGTCATAGGTTACAGGCCCATGTTTACAGCTTTCCACTGTCTCCTTTTACTGGAGCAAGGTTTTTCCAGTATGGACGGAACCTCTTTTCAGGTGCATAGGCAGCTACTGAATAGCTTGCCAAATTGTTGAAGATAACCATTCTGTGCTTCTTACCCATGTCACTTTCAGCCTACTCCCATTCATTAACTTAATCTCTTGTGAGGGCAGGGGTAAGCTAGTTTTGGCTGTCAACCCCTGCATCACGGCCAGATCTGCTTCAGTTAAGCACAGATGTGGAGACTGCTCCATAGCCTACAGCTACACCTTCCTTTCTGTGCTCAGCAGCTGCTGCTTCCCTTCTGCCCAAGGTTGATCCGGCCCTAAATTGAACCTGCCTAGGTTGATCCTTGCATGACCTGGAAAGCTGCCAAAGTGGCAAGCAAGTAGAAAGCAAGTACACACAGAGACATTGGACCAAATATCTAATCTACAGAGAAGAGAGCAAGAAAAACCCAGGCAGGGAGTGTTTCCGTTATGGATAATCTTCAGTCTAGTATTGAATCCCTGATAACACGTCAAGCTAACTTTATCAAACTTTACTGTAATGTACTGAACAACATTTCCTGGGATTGGAAGCCTTGTAGCTGACCCCTGTCAGTAAGTCACAGCTAGTTTAGAAACTCAAAGGTAACATGCAGGGTAATCATCATCAGAGCTATTCTACTGGAAAGAATTTTGTCTGATCTAGGATTGATATGACTGGGAAATACCTATATACTGCAGTAGTGCCCTTCTCATCCTGACGTTCTCACTCAGCTAGTGTGGCCCTTCCTGCCCCCGTGGGAGGGAGCTACCACAATCTAGCTTGGTTTCACCAATGTCTGAGAACAGCTTCTCTTCTGGTAGATTGGCTATAGGGGCTGGCTAACACCGCTCCAAAGGCAGCAGAGCCTGCTTAGATCCTCACTGGGAGTGTCAGCTGCGAAAGACTCACCCAAAGGCAAATCCAGCCAGGAAACAGGAGCACAAAGTGCCGGCAGAGGAGAGGTGCAAATAACAACTTAATAGTAAATAAAATTTTTCAGCAGGGTATTGGCTGACTTCAGACTTGAAAGGTATACTCCATGAAGGAGCCACCTAAAAAAGAGCCTGCTCCATCAGAGGGTTTCTGTGTTAGAGTATTGGAGAGAAGTGAAAGTGCAGTCTAAGATATTACCCTACTATGGTGACTGCTGCAATAATGATCATATCACATACCGTCATTCATTTGATAGAGATGCTTAGCTGTGAGCCCAACTGGCCTTGTAAGCCAGTTCCTGAAACATACTCTCCCTTAGCCATGGTGCCAGGATGTGGACCGATGGTAGCAGTCACTGTTATTTTGACGCGTGAAGTATGCATGATAATGAAATTCCCTTCGTCAAGAGTAAATCAAGAGTAAGCAGCTATTGCAGTAGGTGATCCTTATATAGATCCTTATATATATAGCATCCTTATATACAGTGTCCCAACGAATTGCTTACTGCCTTTCTAGAGTCCGTGATGCCATTTAGGGATCATAAAACTCCAGAACAGACACAAGCGCCTGTCTAACCTGGAGAGGAGCTCAGTGTTCACTGTAAAGAGGTAGGAACAAATATCGATAAACCATGCCTGTTGAAACTCTTGCTTCTAGCAGGTCCTCCAGAAGGAACTGTCTTCAGAAGCAACTGCCTTCTTTCTTCAGCCAGGCTGGTGAATGACAGTGAAGTACATAAGCTGTGAGCACAGCACCTTCAAGATGGGGGTCAAAAGCTCTGGAGAGGAAATGTCAGCAAGTTCATCTTTTTCAAGAGGGCAACTTGTTGCCCTCCAAGTCCCTTTTACAACACAAAAGGATCCTGCCTCCTTGTTTTTCACTTACTTTTGCAGCTATGAGGAGTGAAATTAAGCCAGTTTAAAGTTCAGGCTGTTAGAAAGACCTTGTTTGCTCCAAATCTATGAATTTTCTCTGTAAGTTTCTTGTCCTGCTGAGTACTTTAAAAACCTCTGGACCTTAAAATGGGTCCTAAGGGACTGTAAGCACTATGGAAATGATACCTCAGAGTATATGAAGGGCAGAATAGCCTTCATTAGCATTAACCTTTCCAGAGACTGTTTTCTCAGCAGTTATTCCTCCAGGTTTGCTTACTGTCAACCAAAACCCCCCTAACTAGATTGGTACTACAGGTTTAAGCACGAGGTCATTAATGAATAACTATGAAATCAGCAAGCTCCTGGGTTATTAATAAACAATGCCTTCCCCTTCTGAATTCAATGGAAGCTGACAATACAGTACTTATTTACACCAGAGCTGCTTCTACCATGTTCTTGCTCCACTCGCTCTAGCTTATGATCATTACAGGTATGGTAAATTGGCTCCCTTTCATGAAACCCCCATATCTCAAAAAAACGACAATCACCTTTTGCAGGTTCATGAATACTGGTTCTTCCTCCCCAACAGTACCCAAGCAAAACACAGCCTGTGCTTTTCACACATGCTTCGGAGATCAAAAACCTCATTCAGAGGCTTTTTCACAGTCACAAGGCCAAAGATTACTGCACCCACACTAATGAACTGGCATATTTTATCACTTGTGGGTTTATTTATTAGCATTTCTACTTCTCTGCATTTACTTCCCAGCTATATCATTTATGTAAGTGGGGACTGAAAATCTGCTTGCTTTACAATTATGGCATAGATTCTGCACAGAGAAGACTTCAGTCCAGGCTGAGCCCATACTACGCATAATTCACTCACCCTACAGCGTGAATGAGCCAGCCCAGCAATAACGGGAGGATGCATTACAAAACCATACAGCCAGGCAGCACCCAGCCCTTGCTGATGTCACAGCTTGTCACAGTTAATCCATGCACACAACCAACCAGCATGATACACGCGCAAAAAGAAGGATGAGTCTAAATCTCTCTGGTTCAGGAACAAACTGGCTTCAAAAATGCAAAATACAACATCTGTTATTTATTGGAAATCACTGCCTCTTCTACAAGCCAGCCACGAGGCTGTGCATTCAGCTGAATCTTTTTATTTTTAAAAATATATAAAAATAGAATTGACTTTGATTTATACAGCATCTTAATTAGCTTCTTTCCTCTGAAATCAGCATTATTTGACCTTTACCTGACAAAGCATCTCACAAAATCCTTGTTGTGATCTGGCTAAAACTGACATGCAGAGAAGTGGAAGCAAACAATGAATGCTTTCAAGCTGATGCTAATTACGGCCTATGATTTTCCGTTTCTTACTCAGCCTGCTTTTGTGAGCACAGTCTCAGTTCTTCTTTCAGCAGTGTGTGGGGGGAAGAGAGAGAAAGGCAGAGAAAGCATCAACAGCTTCCTGTACCAAGGTGAGTTAGCTTGCTAGGAAAATGTTGTTAAGAGTGTTGTGTCTCTTCCCCTTCTACTTCCCCCCATTTAAAACAAATTCAAGATGTAAAAGGGGAAACAGGCTAGGAAAACACAGCAATATAGGCAAAGGCATAAGGCATTTTAGTATCTGGCCTCTCTAGACATGCATACATACCCAATCAGATCATCTACGCATGGATAATTTAGACTGTTGTGAGATCTTGTTGTGATCCCTTGTTGAGCTCTGTTTTGTCTACATTCATTTACAAAGGGAGGTAATCAAATAATAATCAGGGAAATCCACTAGCAGGAAATGCTTTTTGACTGATTCTGGACAACAAATTTAAAGGCTCGGTCAGTGACTGCATGGTAGGCTCAGTTACTATATGTAAGCTGAGGTGCAAGAGGACACCTTTCCTTCTAATTGAGTTTGATGTATGGAAGTGATTTCCATCTGCATAGCACATGGCTACAAGCAAAATATTCATTGTGGTTTTATGCTGCCCTTGATGATGGAACTATGGAATGCCATCTATGAGCAGAAGTTTCAGAAAGACAGGGTAGAGAGACTAAATCCATAATGAAGATTAAAGGGTTATTTTCAGTTTTCAGATGCATAAGGAAGAGGAATGATGACCAAGTGCTAAAACTAGCTTGCTTCAAGCACATAACTCCTTTTGGCACTACCTAGGAAAGCTGTCACTTAACTTTTCTTCCCAAGCAGCAGCAGAACTGTTCTCTGTATGCATCCAGCATTCTAACGCAAGCAGCCAGACAAATAGTGCACCTTCAGTAACAAGTCTCTTTGGTACATATTTGACTTACTGGTTTTGTTTCATAGTACTGTTATTGTCACTTCTTCATTTACACATCTTTATTTTCTGTTTATGCTCCTTCTATTCTTTTGCCTTTCAGCTGTATGTGGAAATACAGTTCAAAAGTATGTGAATCCGACTATAGCACAGGACATAGCTTATTTACTACTGTGTATTATCATAACAGGGAGTTGGAATGGTTGCCCTCCCTGCTGCCAAATATGCAAAAAGAACCAAATTCAACAATGCTCTACTTAGTCTGTTCTGTACCTCTTGCAACTATGAGTTAGAATTGCTCTAACTGGACCTGAAATTTTGCACTAATGCACAGTGCGCAACTTTCAGGTTTTTAATCTTCTCCATCTTATGTTTCTCAAAATTTCTTTCCACTTGGTGAGATCTGTATTGAGGAGCACATAATTGGACAACAAATTAACAGAGAAAAAAAACCATGGAGCTAAATACTGAAGGTCTGAAGATTTGCAGCCACACTTCTCAGCCGATATGTTTCTCTAATATCTAATGTACAGCTAGCACATGGTGTCTGACAAAGTCCAGATGCTCTTGGATCTATTTGCATGGCAGATGTACCTTCAGGTATGTCTTTCTATACCAATCCTATCCTGCCCACAGGCAATTGCATGTCTAACTTCAATATATCACTTATTTGCAAAATGAAAAACAGAAAAAGTCTTCGGTAAATGATACTGAGTTCATTTCCTAATTTACTGATGTTTAATGACTCACTTCGGTGAAAAGGCACAATGAGTATGTCATCCACTGTCTTCCTCTAAATCTTGCATATTTTTGTGATGAGTGTTTTCTGAATACTTCAGAACCGACAATGAGCGCTATAACCCAATCTGGAAAGAGCAGCTCTTTAAATGTCATCCTAGTGTCTACTCTTGTCTCTTGAATGCAAATTGCAGCAAAACCTCTTACCATTAAGGAGGTAAAACTAATCAATTGCGTTTTCAAACAGTCCTCAATGAGATGCAAACCTATATGTCTCACCAAACCAGAAGATGATAATTCTATTCTGAACTGACTCTCCAAATTGAGAGCTGATAATTCTATTCTGAAACTCATTTTGGTATTATAATTTCGGCTAGTGATGTATTACTAAATACGGCAGTGATAGCTCTTCCACTTCATGGTCTTCATGTTCATGAATAACCCTTTTTTCTTCTTTCTTCCCCCACTCCAAACAACTTCCACTAATGAGAAAAATACCTCCCTTTTCAGTATAGAAATGCGTTATATTCTGTCCTTATGAAACATTAAAATTTACCTCACAATGCAGAAAGAATTCCTTTGTTTTCTTTGCACACAGAAATGGGTTTTGAATACCCAGTTAAGATTACATGTGAATGCAAGGAATGGATGAACAAGCTTCAGTATTCCTGAGTGACTACCTTTGCTACAGTATAATTGCCTCTAAAATTTACAAATACCAGTAGTAACATTCATCCTAAACCAATCAGTAAGCAGGCTTTGCTTCCACAGTTCTGGCTGTTTGAGGACGAAACAACAGGCAGTTTTGTTTACAAAATGGACAGGCTCAGACATTTTAGAGTCAATGGCAGTTGAAGGTATGTAAAATCTTCCTAGACATAAGGTTGATTAGCCAAGCTCCCTCCATGACATATTTTAATAAGAATCCTTTTTCAAAGGACACAACTCTGTTAATGACCATGGACAGATCAACACTGTGTGAAAGGACAGTTCCACGCACTGTCTATTGTAATCGCATTTAATACAGTAGAGTAATACTTTGTCTAACTGAAGTAAGTACACAACCCCCCTGAAATTGTTAAAGCTATTTGACGTCAACTTAGTGCAACTGGCTCTATTAAAAAAGAATAGCAGGGATGAGTAAGAAGGCAGAGATTACCAGCCCCTGTAATGTAATGGTTTTCAGCTTATCTTCTACCTGCAATTATACTCTACAGGACAAAGATTTTTTCTAGTGCTACTATTTATTTATGTTATCACACTGTAGATACCATTGGAGTAATATCATTGGACAGACCCAAACTACATCATGACAGAATTTCAAATCTGCTCTTGTATAAAGCTGTGCTCTTGAGAAACTGTGCTACTGTGTGCTGATAAGAAATCTGTGGTGGAACTACTGCAGCTACTTTGTACCTTTAGTAAGTTCTCATCAATTGACTCTATGTTTGTAGTGGGAAACAGAAAGAGGAAGTCATAGCAAAAGGATGGTCTTACTCATTTTTTGAATATACACATTTGCGCTGAACCTTGCAGATCTCAGTTTCTCCTGCAGCAGGGGCTAAAGAAGATCTTTTTTTAAAAAAAAAAAGCTAATCAGTAACATGTCTATCCCCTCCCACATACACATCATTTCCAGCTGCACTGGACACTTGCCACACCTAGAGAAGGAATGTTTTAGGAGTAGCACATAGGGGCTTCTAATAGAGTGGATGCTTATTTTTAGTATTCCCATCTTTCCTATTAAATAAAAAACAAATGTGCGCTTTTTAGGCACATCATCTGGCCACTATGGTATAAAGGTAAATTGTAGACTAATTGAGGCTTGAGAGCATTTTAAATAATGCATATTAGGCTAATGTGTTTTTTATAATTCACTGAATTTATGAACTTCAGACACTTACACAGAAGGCAGAACATTTGCACTATGTACCTTTGAAGATTTAATGTTACTTATTATAGCCCAGTAAACACTTTTAACCTTCCGTATATGACTAATTTAGCATTATTTTTTTAAATATATAATGAGGTTACCAGATATTAATTGTATGTAGTAATGCCATTAATTGTTCTGAAATCTTCTGAAATCCTCCACTAAATGTGTAAACAAAGCAAAATATATTTTATCTTGTTACAGCATTTATTTCATAAATACTCTCAGGTAGATTTTGCTTTTAACCTTTTGCCATTCTTGATTCAGTTAATATTAGGCACCTATTCATAAGGATAAAGAGTAAGTCACGCAAAGGAAAATAATCTGTAAACTCTCAACTCCTGGTCAATGATTATCTTTTTCTTTTTTTTGTTTTTTTAATTGCAGTTTCTACTCTGAAAAATAGTGTTCCATTGTAGCATGTCTTTCAGTTATTTTGGCCATTACCATTGTTTCTTAAAGACACAATTGAACACTTAACATGGAAAGGCAGTCCTTTTAAAACTCAGTCCTGCCTTTTAGTGTCAGTGGAACTCAACAAGGACGCCAGGAGCTGCCCACTCAAAAATTATTGTTGGACTGAAGCCTTGACAAATGACTTCATGCTATGGAGTATGAACTACCATCTCCATAATTAAAGCACTGAGGAGTATGAACTACCATCTCCATAATTAAAGCACTGATGAACATTCTGCTGTTAGTACTTCTGTATGTTAAGTAAGCTTGTTCATGACAAAGTTTCTTGAAAACTAGATAATTTTCACAACTCCTAAAGACAGAATAATAGACTGCTTCATTTTGTCACTTTTCCCCCCATGTGTAATTGTCCTGTCCAGAGATATTTAGCTTCACTTGAATGGTGCTGCACCTAATAATGCTCATATAGTCCAAAATAATAATTTGAAATTTCCTTCTTTTACAATTTCAGAAAGTGTTATTTTTAGGCTAGCTTGAGGCAAAACAAAGTTACAACCAACTCCATATAGTAGGGGTCAAGTGATAACCTGAACATCCTGTAGTACTCTTAGGAGCCAGATATTGCGCAAAGGGCTGTTGGAAAGAAGTGCAGAGAACTTGTGCAGTGGGGCAAAATCCAATTATTCTGCAAATTTCAGGACTGGAAACACTAGAAGTTGCAGAGTTTCCAAATCTTGTAAACATGGTGTAAAGGAGAACAGAGTAGGCAAGCTTACTTTGGTCCTGAAGCAGATGGCATGAACATTTTAAGAGACTGTTAGAGAAAAAAGACCAAAGAGACACACTATCTTACCACAGCCACTATGCCAAATTCATTGCACAGATTAAGTGCACTACTGCTTCCCTGTTATTCTAAGAGCTACCTTGGGAATGGCAAAGGTACAGGAATGCTTGACAAGACTTTCTACAGGAAAGGGGCAAGTAAAAGGATTTTATTAAAACTTACGTGACCTTTAGCTTTTGGAATTAGAATGTCACAACTACCGTCACAAGTCTGAGTTCTTGCCAACAGCTGGTAGTTTTAAGAATTCATGACTAGTTTTGCATCACAGAGGTGAGATATGCTTCCCTTTCTGTTCCACCTTTCTGTTGGTGTTTTGACTTTTCATTTCCATAATTTTCATGTTTTCTTTTTATTTTTAAAGAGCAGCAAACAACTTTCTGTGCTGGGATAAAAGATGATGCTGGAACCTGGCCCTCTGTAGACATGCTTGTGCACTGTACCCCCTGCAAGCACTCCTGACGGGGAAGGAGGAACCATCTTTGTCTATCCAGCAATGCAACCTTCTTCAGGTCTCACTCCTCCCATCTCAGATTCTTATTGCATGCATGTTCGTGTTCTTCCTTGGCTGAGAAACATACCCAACTGAATGCAGCTCCTGTGAGTTCTGGCCTTGTGCCCAGTCTGTTAATCTGCACTGCTTAGTAACCATCAAACATTACCTATCACCTTTTTTAAGAGGAGGAGATGGATGATTATTTGTCATTTGGATAGGCCTGCACCTATCCAAAGAGCTAAGGTAAAAGAGCGCGGACTTAGTCATTTAGATACCTCACAAAGAATGAACAGAAAGACAGTCTTTGTCCTGCTAATCTGCCCACATTTTACAGTCTTTGGTTTACACGGAAGCAACAGAGATCTTGTGATCTGGAGGCACTGACGTGTAGGAATGGAACTCTGACCTCCAGCAGTCCCATCCTATGCGCTGAGCAGAACAGTACTTATTCCAGCCTGCAAAATGGACAAATCTCAGGCAAGACTGCAGTTCTCTTCTTACACCTTGACTATGTAAAATCAAAAAGCTAAACTTATATGAGGATGCATAAACGAGATTAAATCTCAGATGAGAAGCAGCTTCAAAGGTCAGAGATGTGCTAGCCTGAAGTCAGTGTAATTTTTGGGTCAGCATTAGTTAATTAATAATCTTACATATCATTTAAACTCAAATCCTCAGCAAGTGCTGCATATATATCCGAGTTTTCAGGTCAGTAGAGTGACAACACACTACCAAGCAGCAAGCTCACGATTCCATTCTTCCCTAGAGGAATATTTAGCTAATAATTATCCTTTATGCAAATAGAGCAATGCCCGACTGAAGACTTTCATTCACTCCGACGTGCAAAAACGGAGCTGAACATTCCTGTCAAAAAGCTACCCAGGTAAGATATTTATCTCCCTTCCCACACCTCTGAACTCAGGTTTTATTTGCTCTTTGCCTGTTTTAAAAGGTGCAAAACGGCCTCTTTTCAGTTATTTTGCATACTGGTGTGGCTTTTAATGTTTTGTGATTATTCAATTCTTCATATATATTGCTTATAAGGTAGATACTGGACAAAAGTTTGTAAAGCAGGTAGCCAGCTGCAACTGGCTTGGAAGCAATCTTTCCTCCAAACTGGCCTAAGAGTTCAAGAACAGCCATTTGGCTATTTTTTATTTGGATTTAAGAAAAGTGGCTTATATGACGCTGACATGGTTCTCAAAGTATTAAATTGTTATTAAAACTGAGCATTTTCATAGTGATTAAATATGAAAGAGGATTTCCAAAATATTGTCCTTATTGCACGTGGTAAACCCAGGACACCAGGGAAACCAACATGAAAATACATGTAAAGAGGATATCAATATGGTTTTCTGTACAACAGTTTAGTGTGACTAAACAAAGAGACCAGCAAAACCATGGGGACAGAAAACAGAGCTTAGCGTTCAGTTTTGTAACCGATGAGTGAAGTCTTGGAAAGCTGTGCTGAAAGATTTTCTTAAAAAAACAGACTTTCACTTTGGACCAGCTACGTTCCCAAAATCAAGAAGTCTGATTTTTAGGGATATTCTTTTGACTCCATAGAAAATGTCTTTTTAGTGGTCATACCCTAGGACTCTTCAGAACAATACCATTGTCTTGCCTTCGAGCGCATGCCAATATTTTGATGCACACGTTCTGGAACCACTGAACAAAACCATCCCTGCAGAACCACTGAAACTACTTGATAATTTATTTCCAAGGTCTGATCACTCCCAAGGATGTTCTGATGGCTCACCTTTACAATAGCTGCTGGCTGACTGTGTGAGTTCTGCTGTAGCCTGCTCACCACTACTGGGATTGTTATATGTTGGTGGCTGTCATCTTACTCACTGGGACACTGGACTGAGAATCCTTGGGAAAACATGAATTGAATCACAGCTGCTGGTGAATGCAAGCATTTGAAAAAGAGCCTAACTTGCCTTGGAAATCCTAAATCAATTTATAGTTGGATGCAGAAGTTGTGAATCAGAAATTTAAATTAGAAATACAGAAATCTAAAAGACTGCTTGACCCCTTCGTATAGCAGTGTTAATTTGTAGAGGACTTAGACAAATGTTCTGGCTTTCCTGACTTACAGAGACCAAAAAACTGTATTCTTTTTCCCTCTTCCACTTTTAGATTAGTGTAATGTTGAAACTCAACAGGAAAATGTTTTGAGGCCACAATATTTTGCCCAGATATAGTAAAAAATGAGCCCATCAAGTGCCATATGATTTTCCTAAAAAGCACTGCAACGTTCTTTGCCTATACCCTGAAAGGTTGCGAGGTCAGTGTTTAAGTAAATGGTTCTGGTTGCTGGCCCCTTGCTTAAGTTTGCTTCTATGTATATCTAGGTCTGAGCATTCTAAAGCTGAAAATACAATAGCTTATGCAAGACAGAGAGAAACAACATTTCACTTGTTCTGTTTTGTCACTTGATCCCTCTAAAACACACAGGTTATGTCAACATTTCTAAGTAATCCTGCACAATAAAAGCAGATTAACAAATCAAAGCAGTAGATGCTGGAGCAGTATCGTATTGTATTACATGCATTTCAGCTGATTTTATTTCAGACTAGTCAGGTCCAACAGACTAAATGCCCTCATCACATCTGCTCAAATGTGTGCAAAAGAACCAATTGCTGGCTCAGGTTTTTATGCCACAATAAAGGGTCAGAGTGCACCAGGGCAGAGCTTCTGGGAATTTTCCTCTGAAAAAAAGTCCAGTCTGCAGCCATAACATGCCTCTGTACATTGAATCTATGCCCCGTAAATGAGACTAAACAGGGATTTTTTCCAAAACTGTGTTAATGCTCAAAACCAGAACAGTAATGTAGTCATAGCCTTTTGGGACCAAGAGAGGTTTCTTACAGGCAGCAAAGGTTGCTGATATGAACGATAAGTAACTTTAACAGTTTAACTCAGCACCTAGAAGTGTTTTCAAACAAACGCTTAGCTAAACTTATGTCCCTCATGTTTTTCTGTAATATATGCAACAAAAATACAACAAAACTTCAGATGATAAATACAAGACCGACTTTACCCTCGTTAGTTTTCAGCTGAATTTTCTTAGTTTGAACATAGGGAAAACTGCAAGCATCACTTGACTCAAACTATATAAAGGGCTCTATCCTAACTTACTTTTGCAATCACTATTTTAGCAAGAGTAAGAGATTCTCCTATAGACTTGTGATACACTGTCTGACTTCTGTCCGAAACGCAGCATTTAAGAGATCTCCTTAGCACAGAGAGGCAGGCTTATCCTGCCTTCTCCCTCTTGGGTTTTCTAGAGATACAGTTTGAGATTTTCTGATGGACAATCAGAGCGGGGAGACAAAGGGATGCATCAGAATGACATTTTTTTGGGTTGTGTTTTTTCACAAAGAAAAGCTCCTTCAGCCAGAATGGCTATATATGTACCAGCAGAAATTGCTTGCTAAGGAATCTGCAAAGAGAAATCCCACTGAACATGTTGAGACGAATGTTCCCTCTCCTGCAGAGAGATTTCTCAGGTCAGCAGCACAGTGAAAACAGAAGGTAGGCAGGACTAAGGCTGGTTGGAAAGTCAGCAGTTTGTTCAGCTTGAATGGTTCTTTGGTTTGTTTCTCTTTTTCACAAGATAAACTGAGTCACTGCATTTAACCTGAAAGAATAAGTGGTTCAGTGGTTCTGCTCATGCAGAAGAAAACCCCAAAAAGACCCAATGCTTTTTGCTTTTGCTTATACACGGTCAAGGGCAACTTGAAAAAACTTAACTGTGAAGATTCCAAACATCAAAATGCAATTAAAAATAACCATGACTAATTTTTGTTGTAATGATATGGATGATACAAATGTATATGAATGTGCACACAAGTAACTTTCCCTTGTATTAAACAGTTGAGAACATTCTGATGCCTAAGGCAAATGCAATGGATAGACATGTTCTATGCTATATGCTGCTTCATCCATACATCCCTGCTAAGAACAGCTCTTGCAGCAAGCAGTGGGAAGCCTTCACTTGAATAAAATGCAAACATTATGTTCTGTGAAGCTCTGGAGTGAGAGGGAGAGTGAAATAGGGGTTGTCCCTTTTCTTACAAACCACTTAGGCTGAGCTGAAAATGGGTCAGTTTGGCGAACCAGTAGAGGAATCTCTTTACTGACACCCCTGTGGCTCCCGAATATCACTTGAGCATCTCCATTGTGGAAGGATGGTGCTGTATCTCAGCGCTACAATCAGAAGATCAGAGTCCACTCACATGCACAGGATCTGCTCTCCACTCTCCTATCTTTGGAGATGCCAGGAGCATTGGAAGCTCCCAACTCTCTGCTAGGCTGCACAAATGTACACAGTATAGCACACAGCTGTGGTAGAATCCCATTTTCTTCAGGTGAAGCAACTGGGTTATTACTGAGCTATAGGTATCACAGCCTGAGAATTCTTGGATTACACAACTGAAAAATGTTTTGATAGTAACAAAGTCCCTTATATTATTTGGTGTGGCTTTACTATGTTCTAAAAGCAACAATTAAACTCTAAACATTAACAGTTTCTAGAAACCAGCAACATTTCTAGAAACCAGCTGAGTGTTTTACAGCTAGCATATTCATTTGACACGGATTCTGAAAATCCGTGCATAAATAGCAGCATAAATGGTTATTTACAGGAAGGAAAACCTTGTTTCCTGGATAAAAAAGAACTGAAGAAAATGACCTCCTGTCAGCATTTGCTGTGTTTTAACTTTAATGTATTTATTCCACCAGGAAGATTTTCTTGAGCTTTTGTCAAAAATGCATCAAAACTGCTGTAAAGATACATGCATTAACATTCTAGCTTTTTGTTGTTGTTGTTCTCTTTTACAAAAAGCTACTATTCTGATTATCCAGTAAGGCAATATAGCCAAGATATATTACTAAATTATCATTCATACACAAGATCTCTTAACAGATTTCCAGAGAAATTATATTCAAATAATCTTATGTATTAAAAACCATTATCATCCCTCAGAAAGCTGCACAAACAATGCATACATGCAAATTTTCATGTTGGGTTTTTTTTTTTTGCAAATACAAATTTACTTGCAAGTAAATTGTGTGAATTTAGAGAGAGGCAGACAGCAACTATGAATTAAATATATGAGCCTAGTGTACAGAAGCTGATGCAATCTTTTTATATAGTCTATCAAAAGCACTCATTGGATATTGAACTGCCCACTAGCTTTGAAGTAGGTAGAACAAGGGCACCGTATTTGTTTCTTGGCTGTCTAAATTCACTTGGCTGTAAGAAGCGGGTGGCATTTGAATAGCACTTACTGTCTTCATGCACAAGCCTCTTATTCTCCAACTAATTTAGGTAAGACAGGAAATGTTGGGTTTTTGCATTTTAAAAATTAGTGCCTATATTGTAGTTCCTAGCATTCTGTATTTGGTAAATTTTAATCATATGCACTTTAGTACTTCTCTTGGTGTTGTAACTTCTTTTATCTACTCTTTCACCTTTGCATTCTAACAAAGACTAGATCCAACCTATTTTCTGTCCAAGCAGATCTTGCCTAGCATAACCACACAGTAGAGTCTAAAGAAATTTGGCATTACTGATAAAAAATAGCTATCAAACTTTCTAAATAATTACATTAAATTGTAATTACTTTTCCTTTACGATGGAAATAAATGTTACTTACAAAGAAACTTAGTGGAAACTTAGTGGAGAAATGCAGTGGGAGCTAAAAGCTATTTCATGTAATTGGGATGGATAGAAATCTACTGTTTTTTTAAAAATATATTTAGACAATTATGCAGGTCATTTTCAACTTGGACAATCAATCTGCACATCTCTAACAAGAATCTCTTTTCTGCCTTTTACCAAATTATGAATTACCTATCTGTAACATTTAAACATCCTGTTTCTAGTTGTAGTTAAACTTTGTATGGCCTTAGAAATCACACTGTGCCATTTAAAATAATACCTAGGAACCTGTTTAAGACTGTTTTGCACTAGTTACAGATACATATCTTCATATTGTTTTTAATTTGTTGGCAAAACATATTTGTTAAAATCTTGAAAAAAAATTCTAAGCAGGATACACAGAAGACATTATAATAAGCCACTCTATTTGGAGTGCTACAGATTGAAAGCTTACAGGCTGTTGGTAATCTATGCTTTTGCTTATCTATTATGCTTCCAGTCGGACTCATAAGCCCTTCTTTTATCTCAACTTGGAAGTCTGTATGTATATAACTGGGTGTTATCAAACATTAACAAATCAAAATACTCTTCTTTCAAAAGACTATTCTGTCTTTAGAGTCCAGAGTTACTATTAACTGTTAAAATCGTTAACCAACTAACAGAATACTGCGCCAGTGAGCACACTTTAGCTTTAGGAAACTGATGGGTATGGCTTCTGTCTCTACATACTGAAGGAGGAAAAAAAAGAGCTTTTACTTGCAAGTGAAGACAAGCTTTGACAATATGTTGCCATGTCACACCTGACACAAAAAGGCAGATATCCTGGCTGTTTACGACATTGGGAGGGACTGGGCTTGAGTCCTCTTTCCTAGAGATTCTGCATATTGTAGTACTAGCACATACTCTCTTCTTCTAGGCCAATATGAATAATTTCTTATCTCCCAGTACTTCTATACAGGCATCCATTCTTTTCTCTGCAAACCAGGAGACAAATTTGCCTCTTGGCATAGTCTGTTTGGTATTTTCCACCTTTAAGATAGATCATATGTATGTTATACTGTTTTGCCTCTCAGTCATGTCCTCATCTACTCCCAAACAATTTATGAATGCACTAAGCTAATTTCAACTAATTTCTAACAATTTAGTAAAAATGCAGAGGATCAGTTTGGTGAAAACAGTTGTGTTCATAGATGCAAGAGACACAAAAAGCACCTCCATATGGAGAATACAAATCTTCCCTGTCTTTATGTATCAGAAAACTGACATGCAGGAGAACCATAGGAAACTCCACTGTGTGTGTTCTGCTGCCCACAAAATTGCATCTTATTCCTTGGAGAGAAAAGCTAGACTAACTATGGGTTTAAACCTGAAAATACTAACATGTAGCACTCTTTTGAGATGGTAAGAGATTCCATCAGGGTTCATGGTCCATATGTTGTGGTATTTGTGAGGAGATGCTTATTAACTAATTGAAGTTTCATATCAAAACAATCTACAATTCAACAGGTTCATCTTATGTAGCAGCTTCTAAAAGTCCATCAATGGTCTGTGTACAAATTTTTGCATAAGACTGAACTGTTGCTCTCCAAAAAACTCTGCTTTACAGCTTCTACTAGTAGGATTTTTTTCCTGTGCATTGAAGACAGCTGCAGTGACATATCAATATACCACATGTGAGTTCCACATCAATGACTACAAGATGCATTATTAGAAGGACCATAGCCTACCTCACTAGTATATGTTTATTTCACACCATCAAGTGCTGCCTCTGATCATAGAGACCTCTATTATGGAGCATTTGGAAAAGCTGATGGAAATATTTGTTGTACAAAGAAATGACTAATTCAACTCCATTTTTCCTTAGTAAAATAAACTGGATTCAATTGAATATACTCTCAAATGTCTAAAAGAAAGGGCTCAATCTGCAGATTTATTTCTTAGTGTTATGTGTCACTGAAGCCTTGTGGTGGTGTTCTTGTTGGGATGATGCTTCCTTAAAAGCACAATCAAGTGACAAACTTTTAACATTAAGCATCTGTGCTCAAAAAAATCTCATGAACTGCAACCTCAAGGCTTTTTTCTTCACATTGCAGGAACACATGCATGAAGTAAACACTGGGACAATGGAAAGACCACTTGAGGCTATCAGGATGGAAAATAGCACCTCTTCCTGCTTTGCCATGGAAAGAAAGACTCGAGTCAAGATTAATAGGAAAGAAGTCATGTTAGCTAAGCTGAGGAAAAGCTGCTCCTGTACCCCAAAGAAGCTGAAGAACTTTGTCATGAACTTCTTTCCTGTTTTACGATGGCTTCCTAAGTACAATTGCAAAGAGTATATTTGGGGTGATGTTATGTCTGGGTTAGTAATTGGGATCATTTTGGTGCCTCAAGCAATAGCATACTCATTGCTGGCAGGTCTGAAGCCCATTTATAGTCTTTACACATCATTCTTTGCCAATATCATCTATTTCTTAATGGGCACATCCCGCCATGTCTCAGTTGGCATTTTCAGCCTGATAAGCTTAATGGTAGGACAAGTTGTGGACCGAGAACTTCTCTTGGCTGGGTTTGACTTGAATGATGATGTTCCACCAGCCTTAGGTGATGGCTCTCTGCAGAATGACAGTCAGTCCAACGCAACTGCCTTCAACCTTACAATTGCAGGGATGAATGCTGAGTGTGGGAAAGAATGCTATGCTATTGGAATTGCTACAGCCTTGACATTTGTGGCTGGAGTGTATCAGGTAAGTGGTTGCTGACATCCAGAGGCATGGTATGAAGTTTCTAAAACTTTTTTGCATGACATAAGCTTTGGTTTGAGTGTCTTTCAATGAGAGATACAGTATCAGTTCATTTGAATGACCTTGGACTATCTTCTCCAGGAAGCCTAACTGCAGGCAACTCAGAGAAAGCATGAGGTAGGCAGTTTTCTTAGCTACTAGCAAGCACAGGTAAAGCAAGTCTTCTGCAAGACCATTAACATTGTGTTGATACTCTACTGCCTGTTGGCCTTGCAGCTTTCATGGGATCATAAACCCTTTGGCCTTACCATGAGGGAAATTTCCAAATAGCTGTCCACTTCCACAATGAAGACATAATTCTGTTTCACTAGGTATTTTAACAAAAGTGCAGACCCACTCACCTACTTCTACACAGGTTCAGAATGTGCTGCTCAGTGTTTTGCTAGTGGATACTATGTTGTACCAAACTGCTATCCAAAGGTAATTCAGAAGCAGAAAGGACAAGAGGGGAAATAGATTGACTAAGCTACTTTTCAGGCAATGGGTGTGCTGGACTCTTTGAGACTTACCACCGTACTGCCCGACACAAGGATATGAAGAGAACACAGGAAGAAGCACAATGAACTTACCTACCTATTAATCATATAAAGAGATGAAATAAGAAAGAGCTAGCTATCTTCCTATTTACCAAAAAATTTCAGGCCACGTTTATGAACAACAAAATGCCCTTGTGAAGCTGTATTTTCCAAAGCCATCAAAGGAAGGAAAAGCAACAGTTAAAGACACTATTTTGGGATCTGGGAAAGTTTGGGAGCTCTTCTGCCACTTCTGACCTTAGGCATGCTACAAAGGCTGTCTTTGCTCCACTTCCCCTTCTGTTCACAGGGCTAAAGTTAAAAGCTGTTTAATATAAGAGCACTGCTAAAGTAGGGATCCTAGTTGTGGTCTTTCAAGTTGTATTTATAGAGCAATGGCCGTATGTTTTAACTTTATTCACTTTAAGACAGGAAAAAAGAAAATTGGTTTTGGAATAGCAGAAGATTTTTTGGGTCTACTGCTCTTTTGCATGGGAAATAAAATTCAGACAAGCCACTTCAGTGGAGTCACTTGATAATAATGTTTGATTGAGTCTGTCTCAAACTTCCCATTCACCTTGTGGGTTTGTAGTATTCCACTACAGTGAAAGGAATCACATTTTTTAAAAGCAGACTGGAAACATCAAAGGATAATTCTTGTTTTAAGATTCAAATAGCCAAATACTATTGTCTTCCAGCTAGTTTTCGCCCATCTCTACTTAATTATTTGCAGCACCATTTAAGACTTATCTTTATTTCTTTTTTTTTTGTCTGTGTCTCCTCAGGTTCTAATGGGAATCTTTCGTCTGGGTTTCGTATCTATGTACCTATCTGAGTCTGTACTAGATGGCTTTGCAACTGGTGCTTCCTTAACCATTTTAACAGCTCAAGTGAAGTATCTGATCGGAATAAAAATCCCACGTAGTCAAGGGCATGGGATGCTTGTTATTACCTGGATTAACATTTTCCGGAACATTTCTCAGGCTAACCTTTGTGATGTCATCACAAGTGCAATTTGTATTGTGGTGCTGGTCACTGCTAAGGAACTTGCAGATCGGTATAAGCATAAGCTGAAATTTCCTCTTCCCACAGAGCTGGTAGTTATTGTTGTGGCAACACTGGTGTCACACTATGGGAAGTTAAATGAAGTGTATGCATCCAGTGTTTCTGGAGCTATTCCAACAGGATTTGTTCCCCCCAAGGTACCACGTTTCAACTTAATGCTCCGAGTTGCTGTAGATGCTTTGCCTCTTGCTATAGTCAGCTTTGTCTTCACTGTATCCCTTTCTGAAATGTGTGCAAAGAAATACGCTTACACCATCCGAGCCAATCAGGAAATGTTTGCTGTGGGGTTCTGCAACATCATTCCTTCTTTCTTCCACTCTTTTGCAACCAGTGCAGCTCTGGCAAAAACACTCGTCAAGACATCTACAGGCTGCCAGACTCAAGTCTCTGGAGTAATTAGTGCAATGGTGGTTTTGTTGGTGCTGCTTTTCTTGGCACCTCTCTTCTACTCCTTGCAGAAGTGTGTCCTGGCTTGTATCATCATTGTCAGCCTCCGAGGAGCCCTAAGGAAGTTCCGCGATGTGCCAGCACGGTACCATGTGAATAAGGTGGACACACTTGTTTGGGTTGTTACCATGTCTGCCTCTGCCTTGATCAGCACAGAAATAGGGCTGCTGGTTGGCATCGTTTTCTCCATGTTATGCATCATAGTTCAGACACAGCGGCCACGGACAGCCCTGCTTGGCCAGATCCAAGACACCAGCTTTTATGAGGATGACTCAGAATATGAAAATCTTTCTTCTGTTCCAAAGGTCAAAATATTCCGTTTTGAGGCCCCACTTTACTATGCAAATAGGAACTATTTCCTAAAGTCTCTGTACAGATTGACTAATTTAGATCCTAACCTAGAAGCTGCTAGAAGGAAGAAATATGAGAAGAAGGAAAAGCAGCATCTCAAAAAAGGAGATCACAGAACTGTTAATGGACTGGACATTGGAGAAACCACTCTGCAGCTAGTTCCTAAGCAAATTGATTTCCAAGCCCTTGTTGTAGATTGCTCTTCCATCTCATTTTTGGACACCACTGGAGTTAATACTCTAATGGAAATCCTGAAAGACTACAAAGACTTAAACATTTCTGTTCTCCTGGCTTGCTGCAATCCCTCGGTAATAGACTCTCTGAAAAGAGGAGGTTACTTTGGGAAAGATTTTGGAAGTATGCAGGAAATGCTCTTCTACAGTATACATAACGCTGTGCAGTTTGCAAAAGACCGGAAGCTTCCACCAGATTGCTCAGTTTAATCCTGTGTCTTCCTTACAATTCATTACAAAAGTGATAAATGGGGAGGGGCAGTTTGCAATAATTAAATTATCAGACACACTGTTGGCTGTGTACAGCAATGGGCCTACGAGCCATTCTCCCCTGAAGAGCTCTGCTGTTGTCAGACACCACACAGAACAGCCCAGCCACTGGCAGTCCAGGACCAGGATGGACCAGGCTGCATTATTACTTGCACCTTCACTTCAAAATGCAGGTGATGTGCACTAGGGCAGTTTAGGATTGACTTTCCCCTTGTGCCATGATCATGTGTGACCCAATATATACATCATAAAACTGTTGTGCTGGCAGGTCTGCCAATGTCAGTTGACCCTCTCACTGGTTTAATGGCTGGTTTGTTTTAAGAGGGCAAAGCTGTCTCCATGAAAATGCAATCAATTAGCATCTTGGATATACAATGGTTTCAATTCTGGCACTGCCCCTTCCATCAGGCAGAACCACCTGACCGGTGTTCTCTGATGCAACCAAATGCTAACGAAACTTTACAGTAGCATAACTGGGCCAAGTAAAGGCAGTAATGCTTTGTAAGTTCCCCATATGCTTTGTAAATCCCCATATGCTGGAAAAATTCCACCACTGCTTGTACATACTACAGATGTTTGGCGTTTTTTGGTTTTTTTCCCCCCTTGTCATATTATTCTTTGATTTAAGGTCCACTAAACTATGTTTTCCAGGTCTGGGTTAACTACTGTAAAAATTTGCATTAACTGCTGTTAATTCTGCTTGGTGTCAAATGATACTGCCAGAGTCAGTTTCATGTTCTCACTTTACAAATAAGGATAGATTTATATTTTGATTGTAACACAGTATCCACTGTATTGGCAGAATATCCTCCCTCATACTCCAGCTTATAATTACCTGCATGAAAGGTAAGAGAGCTGCCCTATCTTTCTCTCCTTCATTCATGGCTGGGTCACACACAGCATCAACCATGGAAGGAAATTCTATCACAGCTGTGCCTCTTACAATTAGCAGCCTCTAGAAATAGGTTTCATGTATGCAGAAGCCATTTCTCTGCTGTGCCATTTAAAAAAGTAAACATCAGGTCAACACATCATACGACTTGCTTATTTCAAATTTTCAGGTCACTGAATGAAAGAACACTCAAACTGAGGTTCTCCAGGTGCCCCAGAGCCTGTCTGGCTCTCAAGAACAAGTATTTTGTTAATGGAAAAGCAGTGCATTCTCAAAAAATAATAATAAAAAAAAAGTCTTCACAGGGATTGAGAATAATACAATATTAGGTAAGTGATTCAGTGCTGACATTTTCATGCACTCATTATAAAAAAGCCTATCAGCCGCACACTGTTAGTGCTGCCAGAGCAGTAAAACCTGACAGAAATGTCTGTGAAGAGATGAAAGGATTGACTACTGGCAGCAGTTCCTTCCACAAACAATTTGATTATATTATTAATTAAATTACTGACTTGGTATGCCTGGCTTCTTTCTGACATAAAAGCAAAAGGGGAGAGCCCAAGGACAAACTACTGTTTTGTGTCTGCTTTTGTTTGTGACCATTCTTTCATCAGGCAATATCTCCTGCCAGGGCCTAGCATGAGGAAGTGGGTTTACAGGAGTTACTGCCAGACAATATCAATATAGATACTCTTAGGCTGTTGTGCCAAAGCAAGCTGTCATTGGAAGTCAAACAAAATTGTTTCAGCACAAAAGAACATATATCCTAGCAATCTAGGCTTCTTTTATCTTTACAGGCCAAGCCACCAGCCTAGAACATAAAGGAAAAAATTCAAAAATACCCTTAATCTAGATTAATCTCATTTTAAGACAGAAATAAAGAGACACTCCAATGGAAGGTGTATCCTTGCAACAGTCTCTGGAGAAAAATGAAGAGAGGCTGCCCTTCTTTTATCCAGCAGGCTGAGATATTAAGTCAGAAGTCTCTTTTTCATCGTATTTATTGTAAGAATGGCACCAAAGTTTCAGCAAAGAAACTTGGCTATGCATGAGAAGGTTGTAAGTTTTATGACTTTTAATAGGATGAAACTACTGACCAGAATAAATCATAACAATTTTCTGTTGACAGAGCTGGCTCACAATCAAGTTGCTGTGTTGGACAATGTCAAACACAGCAGGGAAACAGCTTTCAGTGTTCTGATGTGGGAGTGATGATGTTGGAAGACTGTAAATCATTTTCAAGCAGTATGTAAAAGGTAACTAAAAAAAGCAAGCCTTTTCCTGGAAGGTTTATGTTTGCTATACTGCATTATACCAAGATCAAGGGTATGAAGGCTGAAAATGTTAAAAACTGCTGATTGTCTTCTCTCCCATTCTACCAGGAAATAGGTACTGTGACTTGGAGAAGAGTTGGGGATAAACTTGTAATTCCAAGTAGGTTAATACTAATGTTGAAATAAAATCATTATATGCCTTTTAGGAAATGTTATATTCATCATGTAGATTGACTATATTTTTGTCCACTGTGGTGCCTTGTATATATCATGTATCCAATAAACTTTAGTACTGCTACATAATAGGAAAGGGTTCTTGCAGGCTGTGTGGGTCCCATGGAGCTTGGCAAAGAGGTGGGAATCTTCACCTCAAACTCTCCTGTTGACCCATGCAGCATGGTCAGAATGTGGGGTCTTGGTGTCAAAATTGATGTGTTTATTGGCACTGGTAACTAACAACCAGGGAACTGTCCAGTCCATGAAAAACATATTGGGTTCCCCCATAACCACCAATGTTCCTGTGTCACATGACCTCGAGAAAAATGTGTGCTTTTTGTTGGAAAATAAAACTAGCAGTTTTTTGAAAACACTTTGCCTCGTGGATATCCTTTCATGGGTGGCAAAAGAACAGGATAACTTGGAATACGGAAAAAGATAAGAGGTGGGCTTGCTGTCCTAGAAAATGGTTAAAAATACAGGGATGCACTCGGCACCAGTGGTTTAGAAGACATCATGAGAAAGATCATTACAAAAGTTAAAAGGGGAAGGTGGCAGTCTTTTATTTGAGCAAATCTGCTTCTTCAGAGGAACATTTATGGCACCTTTGTACAGATGGCACAACTCTGTGGAAAAGCAATGCCTGTATCTGTTACCCTTCCACAGTGGTGGTATCTCCTAGTCCTCTGTTTTCTGTAAGTGCTTTTCTTCAGTCAAGTACCTACCACCACCTTCCAAAAAGTCTTCTCTACTCACCACCCCCATGACCTAACGTAGTTTTGCTGTTATGGTGATCTCACTCAAAACAGCTTTACTTTCTTCTGGAAATCACTGGTTCAGGAAGAGAACTGCAAATGCATAGAATTTAGCATCAGCACTGAACTCCTCCTGTTGAGACTTGCATTTTTGTCCCTGTTGCTTCTTTCAATTCCAGTGTTTGTCTGGAGGCTCCAGGCTCTCTTCCTTCCCAAACCATTGCTGCCACTCAGTCCACTAGTTGTCCTTTCACAACTTAAATGTCTTCTTGTCTCAGACAAATGCACATTTTTGCAAAATGAAAAGGTTTAGCTTGGTTCTAAACCATGGCGAAGTTTCTAATTTCTACATGTCAAAGCTGGGCTTAATATTGAGGCTAGTGGGTTAGAATCCTACCCTTGAGCCACTACAGCTTTTCTGGGGCTTCTTGCTCAACTGCTAAGTTTCCATGCTCCTAGAATTTTGATAGTCTCAAGGACCGTGTTCCACTTTGAAGGACTCAGTGGCCTCACTCCCTACAAAGGCCGAGCAGAATCAATGACAGACACATTACCTTCTCTCAATCATTTGTAAAACCAAATCAAACATGTGGCAGAGCTGGCAGGCCACTAGGAGGGATTTTTGCCTCTGCCTGCAGATGTGGCTAGCTTCTTTTTGAAGGTACTCACTGATTTTTCTGTCAGTCAGTTGGTTACAGAAACCTCAAAGACCCAAGCCATCTCTCAGGAGAAACCTCTGAGGTCTAAGACCGGCACTCCAGTGGTGGTGAGCAGTGACAGTTGTCCTTGTCCCTGTTGAAGCTGGGTGACTGCAAGAGTGAGTACAAAACCCATAGCCCAGTAAGAGAGGGAGGCATAGCACAGGAAAGGGTGTTTACTGGGAAACTTCCACAGGGAAAGATGGGAGGGAGGAGTTGTGTTCCCTGCTATATTCACAGGTGGACTAATATACAGAGGCCGCTCTGGGGTACAAGTGCAATACTAATCTGTGTGCAGGACCTCCTCTGAACACCTTCCCAAATAAACCTACATACACAAGCACACCCTAATACCTAGGGAAAAAACAACTCCTGTTCCTACTCTGAAACCTCACATCCCATTTCCAGAGTCTGAGCTCTCCTTCTCCTTGTTGCTTTCCCAAACCTACAACTGGTAAATTCCCATCCTCCTGTGTCTGGGACAGCAGATGCAGTAACGATGTAGATTGTAAATATGCTCTGCTCAGCAACAGCCTGAGCCAGGCAGAACTTTAAGAGCTACCACACCTTTTGATGGCCTTTTATTGGTTTGTCTTTCCTCACAGACCAATCACTCCTGTTCAAGGAATCTGCATTTGCATCTTACCACTAGGCATATTGGTATAAGTGTGTTTAAGCTGAGTTAAATGGGACTTGAAAAATAAGGAATTCCAACTTTGTCCTCCTAAAAGTCTGAAATGTATTTCCCTAGAACTAGAAATGCTATTATGTATAGGAATCCTCTTGGAAGAAGGTATCAACTGGTATTAACTAGAGTCACCTTGTTTTAGTAGTCACTACATGCCACTCAGTAAATGCAGCACACAGGTGGGTTCAGGATGCAAAAAGAAACTCCTAAGTGGAAGGAAGACAAAAGTAGTAACAAAATAGTGGCAGCTTTCATTTGTACCTCTCACTAAGTCAGACTTGTTTTAATCTTTGTGAGACTTATTTTTGCTGTATTATATCTCCTAAATTAAAGGACAGAAAAGTAAGCCATCTTTCTAGTCTCTCAGCATTGTTCTTAAAACGGCTAATGGTTAGCAAAGCACATATCAGGATGGGTGAGAAAATCTTGTTTGAGACAGTATGGCCGCCTGAAATGCTTTGGTAAGAAATAGACTGAATTTATGCCTATCACCCTATTCCAACCCATTCCTAGCTTTCATTAAAGATCTATCTAACTTGGAAAGGGAGCGTTAACACCGTGACCTGAATACTAAAAGCAGACCTACAGCCAGGGGCAGCCCTAGGTACGTGTGGACAGCTGGGATGTGGACAGGAACCAAACTGTCAAAGTCTGGCTTCTCTCAGCAGCTCTTCTCAGTACTGAGTAGTTGCTGGTGTTACTGCACTAAGATAAAACTCTGCTGGACTTGAAGGAACAGCAGTGATAACACCCAGTATGACTCTTGAAAACAGCTGGAATGACTGTTGCCTGAAACCCAGCTGAGAGCTCCCTCTGTAACACTGGGCATAGATGCCCTGATTGCAAAGCAGAACTCCTCCTTGCTTAAGGAACGACTGAAGACTCCTCTAGAGTTCTCTTTTCATGGTTGTGCCAAGCAGTATTTTAGAAAGGATGTACCAAGTTTAAAAAAGTTGCACTAGAACCTTGTACATGCAATGGTCCACAAAACCCATTTCTGCTAGCTTGAGGCCTCTCTAGAGGTCATGGTACATGGGAATCAAGATGCTGAGGCCTGGATATGGCAGCAGGGGAGATGTGGAATAACTGTAGCATATGAACTGAGATGGTCTTGGTAAAACTTGACCAGCACACCCACAAGACTCTTCAGATGAAAGGAAACCTTAAACTGCTCCTTAACCTGTTGTTAGGCTGTAACACATGCAGGTTAGCACCATCGTTCTCAACATAAGCTCTCTGTTTCTTAATCTCATACACCCCCAAGTTGATTCCCCTCCCTTGGCACTTACCTGACTTCCAAGGAAATAAAAAAAAAGGTTGCAATTATACTAAAATATCAAAGTGAGCACCTGTTTGACACTTTAATGTGTCACATTTTTCTGGATTTTGACTTGAGGTGTTTGCTTACCTGAGAGCAACCAATTCCAGTAACCAGTGAATTCGAACTTGTTCAATGCCACCATGTGGAACAGAAGAAATATAGGCTAGATTCATCTCTTGGTCTTTGCTCAGGTCAAATAGGTCAGCACGGTTGTGAGGTAAAGGAGGGCTTCAGGAAAGGAGGGACAGAAAAGAAACAACACATTGCAACATTAACTGGCAGCTCCACTGGGTATCTGAAGATCACTATGCAAAGTCCCCATACCACCTCCAAGATCCTCCCCAGCATGACGAGCACTGTCATGAGTGACAGTGAGATGAAAGCAAAATGGAGTTGTGGGTTATCTGGGGCTAACGGGCTACACATGTAGTCTGGGAAAGCAGAACACAACTTGGGTGCATCTCACAGCCATGCTCAGAGGAAAGGATTACACGCAGTCATTGCTGCACAGACAGCAACCTCAGGCAGCACTGGCCTGAAGAAGAGGAGATGACACTGGCAGTCATCTTGTCTCTGGGTAACTAATCGTAAGGGAACTCAGTATCTTTTAGGCTTTGCAGTGGAAGTCAGACTTGCTGAGGTCTCTACTAAGACAAATATGGGTTTGGTCTTCCTACTGATGTCCATGCAATGACACCAATTCCTGCTCTGCTGTGGAATCTACACTTGTTAGAAGCAAAATTACACCCTCAGAGCCTCCACATTCTTCAGCCATGTTCAGCTAACCACTAAGCATAAGGAAGCACAGGAGTATGAGGCTTGAGGTTTTTATGTTTGATACTGCAAGCAGTTTAACCTGCTCACGGCTATACAGCAATGATAATGGCGTCAGTGTCTACTTATTCCACTGAAATTAGCATAACACTCAGGCAAATTTCTTCTGCCTCTATCTCTGCAGTTAAATATCTGCAAGATGGAGGAAGATCTCACCCCTACCCTCCACAAGTCAAAAACTTAGCACAGGATTTGGGCATCCTTATAGACTTTCATTAAGCCTCCCTGCCAGGAGGCAATGTGCAAATCCTGAGTTTTACAGCATTTGTATTACAAGAAAGATAAACCATCATTGTCCCAAAGGTTTGGTAAAATATTTCCACATCTCTTCGTGTTGCAATGAGAGATGACTTGCACTCTAACTACAGACTATATATTAATTGCATAAGCAAAAAACTAATATAGTTTATGCTTTGCCTACTGTGATCCATCTTCTCTGGTGGGTGGATCAGCTGTGTGCTGACCATAACTATGCTAGGAAGAGTCACGCTGTCATCCTCTCCTCCTCTGTACCCCTCCAAATACTCATCCCACCTCCAAGGATGCAACTGAATGAACCTGCTACTGTGCCATCTGCGCACAATGGGGGAAAAGCCTAACCCAACTTGGACAAGAACTTGATGCAACTTTTGTCTTAGCTAAGACACTGCCTATCTAATCCCCTGCATCCTTATCTGAAAGTGCAAGTCTCAACACAAATTACATCCTTGTAGCTTCATACATATCTGCTAGCACATGTGAGCCCCTCTTTGCCACTTCACCAGTATACAAGGCACTTAAAAATCATCTCCCTGAGGTTCCTTCAAGTCACACAAGTGAGACTAAGAAGTTACAAATTCCACTTTTACTGAAAATTTATCAGTGATTTGGGTCCTTTTAATTGTTCCAGTGAATAATGTTCACTGTCGTTTTTTGAAGGAGTGATTTACTACTGCTCTGAGATTCAAACCAACTTCAGTTCAAGCGCTGGCAAAGATGGAAGTCAAGGCATAAAGCATGCACATATTTTTATTTAGTCCATGCTTTGTAAACACTCTGAAATTCACATTCTGCTAGAGAGAAGTCTAGCAGAAACCATCATGAGCTCCAAAAGAAAGCTGGTGCAACAGTGGGTTTTGTTAGTATCAGTATCTGTCTTTTCCTGTTCTGAGTGGAAAGTGCCCATCCAAGAGAACATCAAGCCTTGCAGTCTCCCAGGCTTTATGTACTGCTGATTTGCCCAACTGTCTGAAACCATGAAGAAACTTTAAGAACTGGAACTCAGTTCTGTCACAGTGTGAGCTTTCAAGGGAGCTGGGATCCTATAGCTGCAGCAATACCAGTGTTGGCCAGGTGTTATAACTGAACAGCTGCTGATACATGGAGCCTCTACCTCTGCTGCTGCTGCTCTGCCTTCCCCCACATGCTTTTCATGGTCACAGCTTTCCAAAGTTTCTTTCATACAATTAAAATCATGGGCATTTTTTAGACTGTAGTTTAAATGGGCAAAACATACCGTTTTTTAAGGAAGTTTTTCATTAATGTTTCCTAACACCACAAACAAAAATTAAAAAATGAAACAGCAAAGGAAAAAAATATCTAGAAAGCCCAAACATCTCTCTTCATCAGAATGTGTTTTAGGTCCTGTTCTGTTTTCCCACTGACATGGAAAACCAGTGGAAAATTGTTCAAGTCTTGTCTTAGACTGCCTTTAAGCATTACACAAAAAAAGTGCACAAATCACTTTTTGTCCAAAGCACACCCTGCTGATTCCATCCCTGTTGCGTATCTTTTTCCTACAAGTGTAATTTAATCCACTGTACACCTAAATGAAGGAGGTCATAATCAGTTTAGAGTAAAATACAAACATGCCTGAGGAAGATACCCTGTCCTGCTTTTGAGCCTGCTAGAAGCCTTCACTTATCTCACAAAATTTGAAGTCTGTTCAATCCCCTTTAGCTCAGCAAGACTAGGCTTTCTCTGAGAACCATAGCACTAGCAGGATAAGAAGCCATGGAGCTAGGATTTCTGTGCTAAGATGTTCTTGTGTGCTGTGCTCCCACCCAGCCCCCTGACTTAGATCAACCAGGCTCGCTGGCTGCATCAGGAAAACAGTGCATGTTGAAAGCGTCTGGCAAGAAGGAGCAAACTCCTAGAACTAAGAGGCAGGGAAGCTTTGCCTAGGCCCATTTAGGGGCTGCGACAAGGGAAACACTGAAAAGGAAAGGGAAGGAGTTCTAAGCATCACCATCTGTGCTGTGCTGGGGAAGAGGAAGAACATTCACATGTTCGAGGACCCTGGAGGCAAGCCGGAGAGAGGATGTGGACTGGCCCTGTCTTGTGATCCACTTTGTTCTCATTAACCAGCCACGTCCCACCACCAGCTCCATGCAAGTAACACGCAACAGGCCGAGGAGCAAAGGGCAGCGAGGTGTCGCGCCCCCTAATCCCACCGCAGAGGGCCCGGAAAGGCCTAGGTTCCTCCAGGAAGGGCTTCCTCACACCCTGGGGATCCTCTCCCTGAGGAGAGCCCGAGGCGGCCGGCTCCCACACTGGCTGCTCCGGCCGCAGGCCCCTGCACGCTTACCAGAAGCCAGTGCTCCTCCAGAAGTGCTCCAGGGGACGCTCGGCCCGCCCGACGTCCACCTCCACCAGGCAGGCGGCCGAGCCCGCGCCCAGCTGCAGAGCCAGCCAGAGCAGCGGCCCCATGGCGGTCCGGGGGGAGCCGGGCCCCGCCCAGCCCTACCGGCGCCCGGTAACGACGCGCCTCAGACGCGACGCCGCGGTGGGTGGCGGCGCCCTCCCCTGAGGGCTCCCGCCGGGCCTGTTGAGGCCGAGCGTGTGTAGGCCGCTTGAGGAAGGCCGGGCGTGCTGTCCGTGCCGTTGCGTTTCCCTGACAGACCGCATGAGGGAGGTGTAGCTGCGTCCCGGCGCTGGCAAACCCGTCGGAAGGAGGTGGTGGTGGGTGGCGGCGGGAATAGCCTTTCCCTCAAGAACATCTTAGCACAACCGAGAGCACGTCCTGGTTTTCGGTCTGAGCGCTTTTATTGATCTCCATACAGCAAGAAAAGCTTGACATGCAGGCCAAGAAATCAATCGACAGAAAGCGTCTCCCTTATGAGGAGAGGCTGAAAGAGCTGGGACTCTTTAGTCTGGAGAAGAGAAGGCTGAGGGGAGACCTTATCAATGCCTACGAGTATCTCAAGGGCGGGCTGAGGGAGGAGGGAACCAGACTCTTTTCAGTAGTTGCCAGTGAGAGGACAAGGGGCAATGGGCACAAGTTGGAACATAAAGGGCTCCACCTGAATAGGAGGAAGAACTTTTTCACAGTGAGGGTGATGGAGCCCTGGAAAAGGCTGCCCAGGGAGGTTGTGGCATCCCCTTCTTTGGAGATCTTCAAGACCCGCCTGGATGCAGTCCTGAGTAACATGCTCTGACAAGCTCTGGGTGGTCCTGCTTTAGCAGGGGAGTTGGACTAGATGATCTCTATGGTCCCTTCCAACTCTAAAAAATTCAGTGAAATTCAGTGAAAGGCTGTAGATTGACTTTCTGGGTGTTTATTTCTTATGATGTGTGTCTGGACTGGGTTTTCCATGGTTGTGGGACTCTGTTTCTCTGGATCGGTCTCTTATGTGTGCCTTCGGAAATCTCGTCCAGCCTTGCCAACTGGAAGGGCAGTGTGGGGAACTGGGTCTCCCTTTCCGCATCCCCAAATACTGTGGTAGCATCTCGGTTTGTGTTCATTGGTTCTGATTAAGTGTGTGGATGGGGTCCTCCTACTCTGATTTCCAACAGGGGCTCTGGATTTAGCAAGGGAAATCGGGATTTCCTTCCAACAGTGCCCACACTGGGGAAACTAGTGTGTTTCTAGAGGGAGCTGTCAGGGGAAAGAGCTGGATTGCAGATGATCTCCAACAAGAGAATGAAGTGACAACTGTGTTCATGGGAATCAAGGCTTTCAGTCTTAGTAGAGCAACCAAAATTTGCCAACCCAAAAGCTCTGGTGTTTCAGCCCCTTTCACCAAAGCAGTTGTGCCAGAGCTAACAGAAGGGAGGTCTGGCAGACTCCTCAGCTCAAAAATACTGCAACAAGGAAAAGGCTCTGCACAAGTAAGTTTATGCCATGTGTAATCCTGCTTGAGCCAGGAGATTCCCTGTCTCAAAGTAGTAGCAAACCAGGCCCTATCTCTAAGAATTTGCAAAGTGGCTTCGTTCTGATTGGTAATATGTTATTCCTCTGTTTGCAGCTTTGTCTGTCTCTTGAGGCCCTCAGTCCCTGTGGGACTTGTTGTGAGCATCCAAGGCTCATGACAAAATTCAGGCAACAGCATTACATGCTGGAGGCTCAGGTAGAAATGGTGATCTGGCAATTTAACTTGATTCTGGCAAGGGTGACTTCCCTAAATTCCCTAGGACTCCACATGCTGTGGCTCAGCTGCAGTACTCCACTGCCTTGGAAGAGCAAGGCCCAAGCTGAGTTCTAGTGAGGTTTCCATGCAAGATATTTAAGAGGTTGCCTTTATCCTTACAGGAAATGACAGTTTCCAGGGCTTCTACCCTTCTACCAGTGCTTCTGCAGGGGGATACTTGTTTCCTCCGAACTCTCTGTTTGCTGAGAAGACCTGAAAAGGGTATTAAACTGAAAGCACCGATTCAAGTGGGATCTGACAACCAGGGGCCAATAGGCAGGGAAGTCAACCCTGTGCTGCTAGCTGCACCCTGAGCTGGGGCAACAACTGCCTGTGGTACCTGGGCTTCAGTGAAGGCTGCAGGTGCTTTGCCATCTGGAAGGATGGTGCATGGACCTCACTGATGTTGCCTCTCTTCCTTGCTTTTCCTCCAGAGGGATAGGCTGGAGGAGATGAACACATGACTACCAAATGTCACACTTTGGTTTGTTGCTTATTAACAGCAACACCTCACTGTCCTTAAGTGTGGAGGGTTCATTGCAGGGCAAGCGTAGATACCAGTACCTCCAGCACCTAGCTCCAATGAGCACGGAAGCTATCCTTTACAGACGAGCCAAAAGCTCAGTCCCTAAACAAAGACCTACCAGCAAATTTCAGCAAAAATATATTTTCAAGGGAGAAACCCCATGGTTTCCTACCATAGACTTTCCCCATTGGCATCAGGAAGGCTTGAGCCCTTGAGACCTCCCTGACTCTCCCTCAGAGACTGCCATAACAGAGCTGTTGTGTTTTAGCTTGGCTGATTTCAAAGTCACATCTGGGAGACAAGTTGTCAAACTAAAACTATGTTCATTTGACCAGGAAACCTTGCCCCTTCTCAGATGCAGTATCAGGCATATTGTAGAAAGTCCTGAAACACAACAGAGCTGTGGGTGCAGATAGCACCCTGTTGGCATTTTAAAGAAATGTCTCACAAAGCTCCTTTTCCCCTGGAGTCTGACAAGACCATCATCGCCAGAGCATTTCCAAGAAGGTCCTTCTCAGAGGTTGGGGTAGTGTCTAAAAAGACTTTCTCCCTTTTTTTCTACAATTTTCCTGAAGGCATGGCAAAGTTCTACATCTAGCTTGTCAAACGCATCAGAGCAGAAGTTGGGAGACAGAAGATAAGACAAGACCCCTGCCAGAGGAGACACAGATAAGTAGGGGCATCTCTCTGTCGCCCGCAGATTTGTCTTCCCTTGTCTGAGGAAGAAGCTAACAACACTTTTCAAGGTACTGCTTCTGAAGAACTTCAATTCCCAGCAGAAAATCTTTCTTGCTTAAATGACTGCCCTGGTGGCCTCTGCCAGAGGAAGAAAATGCAGCAGAAAGAGTCACCTGTTCCCTGTGAAGGAGCCTGATATACCTCTGTTCCCAAAACATCTGCAGGGATGCTGCAGGGAGAGCAGCTGAGACTAATGGTTTGCTTTTTCCCAACCAAGGTGGCCAACTGGCCCAATGTGTTCCTGGAAGCATTTGCAGGCCAAATGCCAGGTTACCCTGGTGAAACCTAGTGGCCTGCTGTGCAGCTCTCCCAAGCCTCTTCTTCCAGGGGCAGGGTTACCACAGATGACCTCCAGCAAGCATTCCCAGGTATGAAATTCTGATGCAGTGCGCAACACCTATGTCTAGCTTGCTATAAGCATAGTTATAGAGACTGTTAGGCAGAGCCCTGATAAAGACCCTTGCTAAGGGGAACCTCTCCTATTGCCTTTGATTTTCTGCTCACCCAGGGGCTGGGAAGTGCCCAAGCAGGAGGTTTTCTGTGCAGTGATTTATCAGGGAGGTTTCCCACAGCTGACGCTCCCCGCCAAAAGACACTGGGGATTTTACAGCAGCCTCGTCCTGTCTCCCTGCACAGACCTGGAGCTCTTCCTAGGGCATTCCTGAGGAGGCACACAAGCACAGGAAATGGTGGGAGAATGGAAGGGAAGTAGCAGGAGAGCAGCACTGTGCACTGGCCCTTTCCAGTGTGCTGAGGCTGACCTTTCCCAATTACTTGGCCAGCTGGCTCAGTCTGAGCAGATGAGAAATGTTAAGCCTGTTGTTCCTGAGTTGAGTCACTCTTTGCAGAAAGGCTGTGCAAAACATTTGGCCCCAGGTGCTCTCCCTGCGGTGTCCTTGGAGAGGTTTTTGAAACGTCGACATATCTGGCTCCTTCAGGTGTATCAGGCAGCCTTGACTCAGCTGCCAGCTGTTATGCTGAAGAAGGCATGGTATGAAATTGTGTCCAACTCATGCATCTCCATAGCTTCCGTAGCATGGCCAGCCTTTGTAAAAAGCTAACTGAAGTGATCCTGTTGTTTGCAGGAACCCAACAAGCTGTGTACACCCATCTGCACCACGTACTTGCTGCTGTGCTTGTAATTGGCTGCAACTAAAGGAATCAGTTGATCAGATATTCCATATCGGGAGTCTTATCAGCAACACAGCATGGATTTTAGTGTTACTTTTCTTATGGAGAGCTTGTTTTAAAAGCTCAGCTTATCACAACGCTGCAGCTTTCCCCCAGGACCTGGTGTGCTTTGTGAGTCCTGGGATTTCCTTCCTCCTCTTCATTGATTCATCCTGAGCCCTTGGCATGAGTACTTGAACTGGATGTGGCCTGCAGCTACATTTATTGCCTTTCCCCTCGATGGGGCAGTTTCGTGCTGCTTCGAGACCTGCAGAACCTCTAACACTAGGTTTCTGCCAACAGGCTGTGCAGATTGCAGACAGACGTGATATCTGGAGGCTCTGCTGGTACTTGCTTTTTGTCAAAGCAGCGGTGATCAGGCCCAGCTAGAAGCAGGATGTGCAGGTACACTGATGGTCTCCCGAGAAGCACTTAAAAGCTTGAAGTTGACTGGGATATATCACCCTAGAGTTGCATCATCGCCACTTGGGATTAGCAAATCAGTTGGGTAGAAGATTACAGAGTGCTTTATGCCCCTGTGTAGGATGGGATGTGCCATTTCTTCCTATGCACAAGGCCTTTGTAATGTTCATGAAGAGTAACCTTGAAGTTAGAGAAGAAAAACACAACTTTTTCTCACCAACACCCATACCTTTGAGTGAGAAAAGTGGTGTTAGAGTGCCATGTGGCATCAGAAACGCACAGCTGTCAGGAGCTCAGTTCCGAATATGGGGAAGAGAACATGCCTACCAGGGTGGAAGAGAAAGGATTGGTACCTGTGTAAGGACCAGGCAGAACCCTTATGAGTTAACTTTCATTGGAGACATTGTGCTAGGGAGCAGGATAGCTTTAGTAGCAGTGTAGCAGAAGAAGCTGCATGGCCTCAGAAGTGCCATGCAGAAGTGCCCATCAGAAGTTTTGGGTCTACCTGTAAGAGGAAACCACATTGCTTCTAACTTTCTGATTCCTTATCTGCACTGGGTCTGAACAGGAAAGAGTGGTGAATCTGTTCTATCCTCT